TTCAAGATTATAAGAGTAAAATATATATTTTTATTTAAAGGTTACTGTAAAAAGGGAAATTTGGTATTTTTAATATTCATGTTATATTTTCATATTTAAACATGTTGCATCCTAGAAAGTTGCATTATGTAAGATGTGAGAAGTTATATTTTTTTTATAATGAAAATTGTATTTTAATTTTTCCTTTTTATTCTGTTATTATAAAACTGAAAAAATATTTCTAAAAATATTAAAAAGTTAATCAACCGTAATTTTTAGAAGACTGACTTAGCAAGCTTAGTTTGCGGATAACATGCATATTTATCGCTTTTAATTTTTACTATGCATTATGTAATTATTTTAAAAAATTATTTGTAAAAATATGATAAGAATTTCATATTTATTTGGTATGTATGGACTTTATTTAAATACAACCTATATTATTGAATAAAAAAATTTAAAATTTAAAATATTTAAGATTAGGTGTTGAGATGAGTTTGTTTAACCACCAGTATAGAAAAAAAACCTTCTTACAGAGATAACATTTTTTATTAATTAATCAAAATTTATAATTATTAATTTAACTAAAAAATCTATTACATGTAAAAAATAATTTAACAATTTTAGTGGAATAAAATTAAGATAATAATTTATAATTAAATAATATTTATATGATAATTCTCTAATCGAAGAATATATGATTATTTATATATTTTTTTGAGTTTCGGAATATTTTTCTCTACATTATTAAATAAACTAAGCCTTATTAATTACGTGCATTAAATAAGGAATGTTTCACTTAATATTCTAATACATGTTATATAAAGATGGACACATTTTAATTAAAACCTAATTTTATTAGATTATAATAAGTTAAAAATATCCAATGAATTTTAACAATTATCCACGTTTAATAAGCAAAAATAACACAAGCCAACCAAAAATTTCAAACATGAATTCGTTTGTTTGTTTCGTTTAAGATAGTAGTAGGTAAAGTTCTATGTTTGGTCTGAGCTCCAAGCTATTCGTTTTTTACTTTTCACACCCAACCGTTTTTTTTTTTTCTCGTTGGTTTTATGTAAACTATTTTTCATAATGTAGTTATATTCTAATACACTTACAAAAGGTGTATTTTTTTACAGTATATAAATAAATTTTCATAACATACAAATTATATTGTAAAAATAATTACATGGAAGATTGAAAATATTTTTCGAAGAAAAAAAATTAAGAAGATATAACTCATATTCAATTTATGTTAGATTAATTATATAAATTTGACTTATTATGATATAAATTTGTCTATAATTTAATATTTTATTTTACTGTATTATTAATTAATATGAGATCTTGTATATAAAATTTACCATGTTAGATATTTATAACATGATCTACAAGTGAGTTGATAAACTCAATAATAAAAAAGAAAATCAATGTCAATTTTGTAATTTATATTTAAATACAATTGAATTTATAAAGTGATATATATCTTTTATTTAAATATTTTAATTTTATTATATATTTAATTTTAAAATTAATAAAAAGGTTGTGTTATGATTTCAAATCTAGGATATAATATTTTAGTTTCTTAATTTGGGAGATTATGTTTTGATATAAATATAGAATACTGGTTTATAATTATACTATTTCTTGAATTTAGTGATGCGCTTGGTAAACATTAAAATTATGATTGATAAGAATTTAAAATCAGATAATATCTCGTATTAATTCTAACGATTTTATTATAATAAATTTAAGATGGAGACCTCTTGATTTTAAGAAGAGTTGACATCGATCGTAAAGAAAAAAATAGAATTTTGATGGAACAAATAAGAAATAAGAAACAGAAGAGGAGAATAAAATTGAGAAAAATATGAATATATATTTTATATTTAAATTAAATATTTCAATTAAATTATATCTTTAGTTTAAACATGTAAATAAAAATATATTGTTTCAACCTCAAATTAAATCCTCTAATGTAACATACATCGTCAGGTTGGTGGGGATAGTATATTTGTCAAATCAAATCAATTTGGCAGCATTTGTGGGAACATAAACCCTTAATACCTTAACTCAACTGAGATTATGTTTTTGTTTGTTTATACATCTCACATTTTTTAGGAATTAAAGATCAAGAATATCTTCTAAACTTAGCAAAACATTTTTTAAAGATAAAAAACAATAACTCTAAAACAAATAATATCTTTAGGAGAATATATCGACCTTATATCCCATATGATAATATCATTAAAGTCAATTTTTATATATTAGATATTATTCATTTTGAATCTCTCGTTCGTTATAATTTTATCCTTAAAAAGACGTTTCAATGAATTAATAAAGAAACGTGTGTATAAATTACTGTTGTGTTTTTACTACTAAGTGATGTGAGACTCATAAGCTTACTAGAACATCTTGTATGTATTGATTAATTCTAATAATATTATCATAACAAACTTGAGACTATGATACTTTTATTTCTATGCGAACTTGATGCTAGTCATGAGGTCAAAAATATTTTTTTTCAATGAAATAAATGGTAAAGAAGAGAGAAGAATAAAATAAAAACAAATATAACGATGTTCACTAGTGCAAAAAAAAGTTTTTCATGTCACCCATTTCTTATCAGATCAAAAGATACTCAGCTAAAAAAAATACGGTGACATCTTTATAAATAAGAAACATAACTTTTACGTCAAATCTCACACGGTCCAACGTAAAGATCATATTTTATTTTTACTCAGGGTTTTTTCTTCCTCGTGAACATAAGGGTTTTTAAGTGACGACAATGACCATTTCAGTTCTTTCCATGTTACATTTCGACCATAATGAGTGATGACAACACCTACATTGTGTTCTACTTGTGGTGATTGTTGTTTCTCTCCTATTAGATTCAAGTTTTATAATATTTTTGTATCTTTGAGATTAATATTTTATGTCTCCTCTTCTATGTTCAAATTGAATATGTGATTATTTATGGAATCTCAATCATATTATTACATAATTGTCTTCACTGTATTATTGTTGAAATTGAATTATTGTACTTTGTAATTATCCATTTATTTGTTTGATTACATTTATGGTTTATATACTACATTATTATGTGTTTAACTGTTTGAATATCGCGTTTTTGGTTATTTGTATATTATTATTATTTACATATGAATTTGTATTTTAATATTTAGGAGTGACAAAAATTTATAATATAGATAGGTATGAAGTAAAGTTAAATGAATGCACGTCATATTAGTAAAAAAATACAAAAAGTGAGTTGAATAATTTTTAAAATTTGTTTGTGAAAATATATTATTGTTTCGATTAAAAATTTAGAAACTGGATTGTTTGTGGTTAAAATATGTTTGGAGTTTTAATTGGAAGACAAAACTAACAAAATATTAAAAAAAAATACGTCTTATATTCATTTACATATAGTTTTTACTTTTCTGACGTAAATTAATATTAGATATTAATAAAATTAACATAAATTAATGTCTATTTTAATATTGATGTAAATTTAATCTCTCACTTTAGTATAACAATAAGTCTTACATAACAAAAACAACAATAAACATAAAAATCCCTATGTACATTGATGTCTTTATCTTTTATTTAAATATTTTAATTTTATTACATATTTTAGTTTAAACACAAATAAATTACATATTTTAGTTTAAACACAAATAAAAAGGTAGTGTTTCAACCTTAAATACATCTTCTAATATTTACTTATCAAAACAAATCAAGTTGGTGTCGTCTGTGGAACATAAACCCCCAACCCCTTCGTCCGGATATATTCCATTATACTTATAATATCATATAATTTAAGAATTAAGATTAAGGATTTATAAATAATTTTTTTTACTTACAAAACATATAGAATTTTCAAATACATTAAATTTCTATTCTAAATTAAAACATTAGATCAAATATATTTTAAAATTTATAGCTTATTTTATCTCAACTATTGTAGTATATATATATAAAATTATAATAATAATAATAATGTAAATTCTTAACTGAATACAAAATATTTTTTATTTATTCTAATATTCATATATATATATATATATATATAAAATTATATTAATAATACAACTTCTTAACTGAATACAAAATATTTTTATTTATATGAAAATAATCTATTTTTAAACTAATTATAAAATTAACATTAGTGGTATTTATATATTTATTAACCTTATAATTTTAAATTTATATATTATATAATAAGTTGAGTATATTGGATGGTCAAAATGGTAACGGGAGAAATAAGTGCAGTTTTTATTTATATAATTATATGAAATAGATTGAAGAAACGATAATAAATATATAGTATCTTATCATATATTAAAATTTATAGTATATTACATAGAGTTATACTATAATTATATGTAATAGTTATTATAATATTAAAATATTAAATAATATATAATAATAATAATAATACAATATAGTGATTGATATATTAATTTATATGATTTTTATATATGGTATTACTTTTTCTATTCAGCATATTATATATAATAATAATAAATAAAACTTGACATATAATTTTGAATTACATTATTGATTAAAGTATTGAAGTTAAATAATTATTTAAAAGGTATTTGAAAAAAATTATAATTTATTTTTAAATTTGTAAGAAAATATATAGGTAGATAATATATAATTTTATTAAAATTATAACTTTTTTATAACCTAAGAAAAATCGTGATTTAAAAAAATATATAAGTACTTTTGGCAAATCAATAATATTTCATTTAAATATTATAATATTATATCTTATTATTATTATTATATGTTTTGTTATATGCTGAATATTAAATAATAAATAAAATACAAATGATAATATATCTTATATTTGTTTAGTTGTTATGCTATCTCATCTATAAAACAAAATTAAAATTGATTATTGTGTTTTTAAAATCCTGAAAATGAAACTAGTGTAGAACACTAAGAATCGATTCTATTAAAATTCGAATAGCAGGCTTCATCTTCCAGACCCGCTCCTGACAGAGGCAATGGCTTCCTCCGACACTCCCAAACCCCACAAATCTCCCAAAATAAAGAATGGAGAAATCTCCACAACCCAAAGTAAAATTAAGAAGAAGAATCGAGACATGGCGAAAGAGGAGGGCGAAAAGAAGAAGAGTAAGAAGCCCAAACTCAGCAACGGCCATTCAAAGCAGCCGCAGGAAAAGGGCGCTGAAGGAAGCGGTGAAGATGCGAAGACCAACGTCTTTCCCATGAATCGTATCAGGACCATGATCAAGGGCGAAGATCCTGATATGCGTGTTTCCCAGGAAGCGGTGTTAGCCATCAACAATGCTGTGGTAATTTTCTATTTCTTGCGACTTTGTTCTGTTTATGTCTGTATTTGTGCATTTTTTTTACCGGTTTCGTCATATTTGCAGGAGAAGTTCCTTGAGCAATTCACGCAGGACGCGCATGCTTTTTGTGTTCAGGACCGTAAGAAATGCCTCAGTTACAAGCACGTTGGTAAGGTTTTATGATTGAGATATGTGAGTTGAATGAAGTTTGAAATTGAGTTCTGTAGTATAGTGTTTGCTGTAATGTATTATATATGTGTGTTTGGTATATGGATTTCCCATTTTCAATTCACTTTGAACGGAAATCCTACTGTCACAAAGGTTCACCTACTTCTGAAGCAAATGTGAAAGTAAACACACTCTATAACTGTTTAGAATAGGAGAATGCACTTGTTGGGGAGTCCTAAAGCTAGATACGACTGTTAGAAGGTGTTCTTTGACAAACTGGGTCTGATTTACTAATTCACAACGTGGTTTGGCATTAGTATGCAACTACTGATGTTCTGGGAGTTGAAGTTGCATAGCTTTGACTGAAATGGGTCTGGACAAAGTAGAAGTTAGACATGTGCGGTATGAAGACATGGAACATGGAACAGGTGATGGAAGAGGAAAAGTCACTTTGGGAAGGAAAAAAAAATAGAAGGGGACTCGAAGAGGACAATGCAAGTTGGAAGATGACGAATAAGGTGGAGTGAAACAGTTAAACAGATGCCTTTGAATTTGGAAGAGGCCTTGGGAGGGGTTTAGAAGGAATGAAGTTAAAAGTATTTAATCAGATTAACTTGTTTTGAGAGTATAAGTATCAACACCTAGGGAAGGGAAATAGACAAAAATATATAATGCAACCATTCTCTTTGGCAACTGCGGCACCCTTTAAGCATTTTTTTTTTCTCTTTGAAAACTGTTGTGTTCTCTATTTATGCGCTCTAGAAGCCTCCATGCTCTCTTAGCAAATTCGATGACCCTTTAATGATTTTGTTAATACATCTACAAGTTGATCTTTAGATCTAATAAATTTCGTACAAATTTTCTTAGTCACCACCTTTCCCGAACGAAATGACAACCAATTTTAATATGTTTTGAACGAAATGACAACCAACTTTTCTTAGTCACTCAAGATTTTAATTACTTGACCAAATTAATTTTTGATTTCATTCAAAAAAAGATGTAAAGATAGGTAACCATTTCGAACGATTTTTCATGAGATAAATCCACATATATTTGGAATATTCATCAATGAAAGTAATAAAATATCTAAAGTCAAAAGATGATGCACTGGACCCCCAAATGTCAGAATGACTAATAGAAAAAAATAGTTACATCTTGATTCAAATTTTTTTGGAAAAGATGATTTAACATGTATGTTTAATTGACATGACTCACATTCCAACGTTTGTAGACTACTAAGTTTAGGAACCAATTTTTTTAGTTTTGACAAGTTGGGATGCCCTAATCAATCACGTAACAGTTTGGGGTTGAGATGCAAAACAAAACACAGGTGGGCTAGCTCCAAAATAGTATAGATCTCTAGATTTAAGTCCTTCTCCAATTAGTCACCCTATACCATGTTCCTATATAGCAAAAGAATTGACATCAAAGGTTATTGAACAATTTAAAGATTTGGTTAATTGACTTAATGAAATAAAATTGAAAGGACAAGAAGGTACAAATAAAACTAATTTTAAATTTAAAGAAGGTGAAAGGGAAATTTGACCTACTCAGCTTTAGAACCATTGGCTAAGATAATGGAATAAGGATTCTTAGGAAAGAGAAGACATGAGAACAAGGATGCATTACTAGAAATGTGATGAGAAGCACCAGAATCTATTATTTATGGATTTTGACGTTCCATAGATTGTAAAATGCAAACGGTTAATGGATTGGAACTTGATGATTGTGCTAAGTTATTGGATTTAACCTCAGATATTCTTGATACTCTTCGTCAGAGAACTTAAGCTTAGTAGCTTCAACCTTAGAGGTATTGACTATCTTGTTGAGAAAGCCATGCAATGCGAAATAGTTCTCTTATACATGACCCATCTTCTTATAGTATGCACATTGAGGGTGTCCTCGACTGCCCCTTCCTCCTCTAGCATTACATGTCCTCCTCTTCCATGAGGGAAGGTCATGATAGATGATTTCACAGGTTCTTGGACTTTTGTGTTTTGATTTGAGGGAACCCAAAAGCTTGGTTGTCAATTTATCCATGGAGGGGACTTTTTGTCTAGTTAAAAGTTCTGACATGTTCAAAGTTAGGATGTATGGCACGGAGAATCATTACTATATAAAATTTATCTAGTTTTTTCTTTATCTCTTTTAATGAATCATCCTCTAGGAAAATCTTTAGTTCTTCAACAGTAGATTGAGCTTCACTCATGAAAGAAATTATGTCATGATCTGACTCTTTAAAAGAAGCAAGTCAATTGGCAGAATCGTAAAAGGAGTTGGATATCATTTGCAAAAACATTTTGAGTCTTTTTCCAAAATGAGTTGCATGTTTTAAATGTTCTAAGAGTACCTAGTAATTTTGGTTCTACTAACTGCCATAATAAGGCAAAAAGTTGAAAGTCAATTGAAAGAGGAACCACATTTCAACTGAGGTAGATCAAGAGAGATAATTTTTTCCATTTAGTTTTTCAAATGAAATGGAAGGAGTCCAGAGAAGGATATAATGGGTGTAGATGACATCTTGCTGGACGCAACTGAGACTGAGAAGATCTTCAAATGGAGGAAGCAGTTGACACGAGTTCCAACAAAGATGAGACTCAGAGGAAACCTTCAATCTTGTTGGAAAAGAGAACCTAGTGTCAAACTAGGAGTAGAAAGATCTAGCGACACTCATCGGAGACGTGCAGAGAGGCTCCGGTGAAGGGAGCATGGCCTGTGGGCCATACGTGCGAAGAAGGCCAACGGAGAGAGGACGTGCGTGGTTGAGAATCTTTGTCTGGGACCAGAAGGGGTTGAGGTGACGATCTAGATTTGATGGTCACGGGAGAAAACTGGAATGACAATCGGTGTACGAACAATGGCCAGGGAAGGTGACAACGAAAGATTTTTCACCGGAGGAGATTGTAGACCAACAAAGTGGGATAACCCGCTCTACTACTAACTTAAAAGTAAAAAAGATGAAAAGATATATTTTTAGAGGACTTAATCACACCACTCATGATCGCTTTATTTATAATGATAAAGTGAGGAGACAGAGCCGATGGAAAGTCAAGGACTAAAATTGATTTAGAAACCTAGGTTCAAAGAGAGATACAATTATTAGGTTAATAATTCTAACAATTACTATATCTCTTCTTCATTGTAAACAAGAATACTCATGTATTACAAAACACACTAGATCTAAATCACTTTCTTAGAATAGGATTTAGTATGGAGGTGTGACCAATATGGGTTGTAGAACTACTACGTTGTATGACCATTTGAATTGATCCGTCATCATTATATTTGATTTTGTATCTGTTTACATGCTAATTGAATCTAGTAAATATTTTCCAATCAATGATTAGTCACCTGCCTATCCTTTCAGCGAATGTCGTTAGTAAGAAGAGAAGATATGACTTTCTGTCCGGTAATTTCATATCCCTGTTGCAATGCTATCAAATTCTTAAGTTTACCTTTCCCTGTTTACCCTTTTACATGTTTTTTTTATGTTGCTTTTACTTGTTTAGATTTTGTTCCTGAGAAAGTGAAAGCTGAGGATGCATTAAGAGAGAGAAGTGCAGCAACTAATGGAGTATTTCAGAAAATGTAAAGTGAACTAGTGTAGAATCTAAACTTATATATTGTTTAATTAAGCTGCATTTTGTAATGGAAATATGCATCAGGATGAGTAAAATACTGTATTTTAATTCCATAAGTATATAACTGTATATGATTCGTCACTGACCAAGGAATGCTATGCTTGAGTATGCTTTGGTAGCATGCTGCAAGTTCATTCTTTCTTATGTTGAAAATCAGAAGTTAATTTGCCCATGGAAAAATATGAAACACAAATAATTTATTACTAGTGATGAAATCTGCTTAAGCTATGTTTCCTTGCTTTTTATAAAGGGGAGCAGAGTGAATTAGAGGAAAATGGAAGGGAAGGGAAGAGATCGGATGGAGGTAGAGAATTTCCCCTTGTTGCTCTGAAGGGATGAAACCTTTGTTCCACTTTCTTGAGATTCAAAGTTAAACTATTGACGATAAAATTTTTTACTTCCTCTTATTTAATTTTAAAAACCTCTTCCCCGCTCTTTCCCACCAATTTGAGGGGGGAGGATTGTAAGGCTGAGAGGATTGGAAGGGTGAGAATTGCTTCACCCAACCTCAACTACTCCGCACCTTTTTATGGCTAACATACTTTTCCATTTTCACTTATTTGGTTCTTAATTTTTTATGGTTAACATACCTCAAATAGTACTTTTGGGCACTTTCATCTCCTATTTCTCATTCACAGAGGGTGTTAATTTTGAGAACGAGTTGTTTATGTGGATGCTATACATACCTTTACTCTGCCTAATTGGATGGCTATATTCATTTTGAGGGTAACAGTAAGAAACTACATTTGAGGACGGAATATTTGACTTTTTTCTTTAACAAATTGGCATCTTGGATGATTGTATGTACTGTTTGCATGGTGTCGTAAGTCAGTATCCTCAACTAGGTTATCACCGTACTACAAATTGATAATATATGATGCTTCAGTGCTTTATGCAACTTAGGAAAGCCCCATTGCAACCTGCTGCTTCTTTCTGGTGTTCACTTTTTGAGTCAGGCAAATTCTATTTATAGTTCTTAGACAGCATTTCGTAATGGATACGAGTTCACTGGAGTTCAAAATCCTCTACCATAACTTTTTTTTTTCTTCTCTTCGAATCCTCAATTTTCCGGCATTGAAAGCACATTGACCCTTTGCATATTACAAGACGAAAATACATTTCATTTTTCTCTTTTTTGACTTGGAAGTAATTCATTTTGTCTTGATAAATCAGAATATGATGTACCATAATGTGTATTTTTTTTTTAATTTTTTTTTGTATAATCACGTGATATATTCTTAAGAACACAAGCAAAAAACTCTTATTAAACCTGTTTTATCTAATCAAGTTGGATCCCAGTGAACGTTCTTATTATCTAGAATTGGCTCAAATCTAGCCTAGCAATCTAAGCTACGTTGATGTTCGACCAAAACCGAAAGGGAGATACACATACTATGTTCTAGATTTTCTAGATTATGATGTTGTTAAATGTCAATGGTGATAGCTATCTTTTTCCGATTTCTAGAATGCCGGAAAATATTAACTTGAGGTGGACCTCTCAACATACAAGCCGTGAGATACTCAAATAATTGTCTGTGAATGAACTACACAACAGAATAGTGGATTCTGCGAAACACACGGTTAGAGAAAGTATTTCGGAATATAGTAGCTTCTGGTAATTTTAAAATATATTCAAACTCTCAATCTTCTTGGTCACAGGTGCCCCATAATATTTGATTTAGAAAAAATTCCCATCTGATAAGACATATGATGTATGAGGTAAAAAAAATTTCCAAGAGATGAAAAAACAGCTAACAACCTGTGGTAACACCCTTCTTTTTAGAGATGGGAGAAGGAGAGAAATTTGCATGGGGGTATGCTAACAAGTGCTTATGATGATATGTTAAACCGTCGTTCTTCCCCATGAAAGATGTTAAAAAAGACAATTGGTATAATAAGCAAATTAAGGAGTCCCGCTGGCATTCAAAACCGACCAAGTTGCACTAACAATGCATCGTAGGTCAGAGGCTAACATCCATAATGCATCATCAAATTGTCTTGCAAAAGTTAATTACAGACTCGTTCCTTAAGTTAGCCGCTAGCACTTGATTGTTTTGCTACTTCACAAGAATTACAAGTGAATGCTACGCTATCATCGTCTTTTTTCTTTCTGCTTAGATCCCACTATCTTTTTCCTGCCTTCCCAAGCAAAATCCATCTGCCTAACACAGTGTTTCATTTCCATGACACATCACCTTTCATTGATGTGTAAGCATGCAGATCTGCTACAACAACTGAACTTTCTAAAGGAACATTCCACCTAACTCAAACAAAACAAACCCCTCTCACTCTTTCAGCTTTCCATATATTCTCCTCCCTCCATCACCCCCACATCAAACTCTCACTTCAAGGACCACTCTTCCTTTCTCTCCACCATCCCCACTTCAGTCAACAAAAGATGGTGATCATGAAGCATTCACTCTCCTCTCTTACCCTCCCACTTCTTCTAATACTACTCTTTTCCCATCACACCTCTTTAGCCCAGTCGCCCGCCGCGGCCCCAACCGCTCCCACCACTGCCACCACCGCCACTGCTCCGGCCCCGGTACCCTCCTCACCCCCCACAGACATAATCAGAATCCTCAAAAAGGCCGGAGGGTTCACCACCCTAATTCGTCTCCTTCAGGCCACACAGGTATCCAACCAAATCAATTCCCAACTCCTTACTTCAAACGGTGGCTTAACCTTATTTGCACCAAACGACAATGCCTTTTCAAGCCTCAAACCTGGCTTCCTCAACTCCCTCAATGACCAACAAAAGAACGAACTCATCCAATTCCACTTGCTACCCACATTCGTTTCCGTTTCAAACTTTGACACTCTAAGCAACCCTGTTAGAACGCAGGCCGGTGAGAACCCTGATAGGTTGGCGCTGAATATAACAAGCTCTGGAGGGAACCAAGTGAACATGACAACGGGCATTGTCAACGTTACATTGGGTGGCACTGTGTACACTGATCACCAGCTTGCGGTTTACCAAGTGGACAAGGTGCTTCTTCCTCGAGATTTCTTTGTTGCTAAGCCTCCTGCTCCAGCTCCGGCGCCAGAAAAGCCTAAGGGGTCTAAGAAGAAATCTGCAGACAGCACTTCAACTCCTGCAGATGATGCTGAATCTGCTGCTATCAGTGTGAAACAGCAGCGTGTGATGTGGGTTGCTGTTACTTCCCTTGTAGTTGCAGCATTTTCGTGGTGACAATGAGAGGTTGAAGTTGAAGAATATAAGCATTGAAATGAAACTATATCATCTGGGGTGGATTAAAGGTGAATGATCAACATTTTGCAGATACAGTGATTTTAAATAATTGGCCTTTTTCTGTTATTTTTTCTTCTCTATTGATTCAAGTTTCAGGTTGTGGTGGAAATTATATTTGATTTATGAAGGCTTTCTTCGTTCTTGATCTAGTTCTCTTTCCCCCATAAGAAAAACTTCATATCTTGTATTACTTATGAGAAATTTAAAATTTGTGTATAAATTGCATACAATGATATTTTAATATAGAAATGATACAGAAGTTTTTAAAACTTTTTGTTAACCTTCTTACAGTTTCAATAATTTCAGGGTTTTACAATTTGATCAACATTAGATTGACTGACATTATATGCAATGTGTATAGAGATGATGAGTACTATAAACAATTTCTGGAACACTTCTCACATTTCATTACTTACTGGAATTTATAAAAATTATAAATTTACTAGAAAGTTTCATTAAATAAGATATAAGATTAGTAAAAATTTGTGATTATGATCAGTTATATGTTCAACAAAGTTTGTTGTTCATTTTTATTTTAGAATTCTATTTATATATAATATATTATAATATGATATGATATATTTATTCCAAAAATAAAAATTAGTGATACATTATTATTTTAAATCATTATATATAAAATAATAAATAAATACTATTTTAAATTAATAAATAAATGGTGATAAGAGGAAGTTTTTAACACTAAATCTCTAAAGTATATCACAGAATTAAACGTTTGTACTCATTTTAATTCAAGAGACAATTTGATAAATTAAAAAGCTCTTCAAGTTTTTTAAGATATTAAAAATTCTTTTTTTTTTAATATAATATCATATATTTAAAATAATTTGAAAGGTGTCAACGATAATTTTTTTAATGGAATTGGTGGAATTATAAGATACTTAAGTTAATTATTTTATATTGTATTAGGATAAAAAAGAGAAGAGTAATCATTATTTTTTCATATTGTATGTAATTTTAATATATTGCAAGTATTGACTATAAAAATTAAAATATATTTAAGAATAATTTTATATTGTAATATTAAAATAGTATATAGAAAATAAATTATAAGCTCCAAATAAAATATAACTATTATTTTATATAAACACAGATTTAAAAATAAATCATGGAATAAAAAAGTAAAACTAACACACACACACACACACACACATATATATATATATATATATATATGTATAATTATCATATTTGTATTAAATAATAAATACCTTAATTAATTAAATTATGGCCTAAAAAACCCAGTTCTTTTAATTTGAAATATTTTTCATTAACTTAATTACATTAATTAATATTTCCATTTTTATAATTAAATAAACTATAAAGATTAAAAAAAAGATGATTAGAAAATACCATGAATTTAAAATCAACAAAATTTCTTGTAGGGAATAAAAACATATAATCATACTAAAAATAACATGTTTAAATACTTTGGTTAAGTAAATAAATAAAAATATAATTTTCGTTATATCTTCAATTTAGTATAATTATAATTTTTTTAATATATGGTTAGTATGAAAAACTATTTCTTAATATGACCTTTAAAATAATTATCATAAAAAGTTATAATTTTTCTAGTGAACAGTATAAGAAATCTTTATAGTGTCAATACATTTCAATTAAATTATATAGTTAGAGTCAAATTAATTTTGATATATAATCAGTAATTAACAGGAAATATAAAAAAATTAACTCTCCATAACTTATGATGGCGGCACCAAATTTTTTTAGCTTGCCATAAATTATGAATAGTTTTTGGTGGAAACAAACTCAAGAAAAAGAGCTAAACCCTAACAAAAGCAATGCCCAAACATTCATCTGAAACATAATACTATAATAATAAACATAAAAAAACCTGAGAGGAGATTGGAATCAACCTCCAAATTCCAAAGCTTGAAGCATCATCCTCATACATGTCTCCTAATTATCCTCAACAAAAGCACTTATTAATGCTACTGAAAAAATTGTGTCTGAACCAACCAAGTAGCCTCTTAGGAATAAGATACTCGAAAACGATGGCATCCCAAGCCAAGTTCAAATTAATTAATGGTACTTCTGGACTAATGGGATTCATATCCACAAGGTTCTATTTATAGTGAGTTCAATGAGGAAAAAAAATGGTAAGTATTTTATTCATTAGATGATATTGAAAAAGTATACTTTTCCTTTCAGAAGTGTATCAAAAGGTGGGAAAATATTAACCTTTTATTGCATCTAGTGATAGCAATTTAGCAATATCAGATTTTTAAACCTCCAAAGATCTGGGCCCTCACAATATAGTAGTAATTTAAATTAGGTGAAATATTGGAAACCACTCATAAGTTTTTAATTAGGTAGTTTTACGATCAATTTTCTGGTATCATCTGTCACTAAGAAGTCTCTTTTTGTAATGCAAAAAAGCGTTTCCATGGTTGTGCAGCCTTGGAGATTTGGGAACTTGAGACATTCTTAATTATATTTTGTACATATAAGATAATAATATGTGAAATGGTTATGATGATTAACATTTAAGATATCAATTATTATGAAAAGCTCAGAATCTACATGCATTACTGTATCAATGGAAGAAGCATCACAGTTTCATAAATGTGCATCTGGTACCCAATTGAGCTCTAACTTCTAACTCCTGTTTTTCCTGCATTGCCAAGCAAAAGTCAAGAAAAATTGTTCTCAATCACCTTTATCTCATCTACCTTGATGCATCACCTTAATCTACACCAGGACCACCATAGACACACATAACACAAGTATATATATATATATATATATATATATATATATATATATATATATATATATATATATATATATATATATATATATATGTAAGCAAATTTCATTACCAAAACTTCATCCATTTGTCACTCACATAGTCCCTATAAAAACCACCCCATTCCATATCTTCCACACATCAAACACCATTCAAATAACAATCACTAATCTATCACCAAAGCAACTTTACTCTAGAGCCTTCAATAGCAACCTGAATTTGCCTACAGAAAAAATGGAGCAGTTAGTTTTATTCTCCCTCTTACTCCTCATACCTTTTTCCTCCTTATACTCGACCACATTAGCCCAAACAACTGCTGCAGCTCCATCAAAACCAATTGTCCCAACACTACCCCAGACACCCTCTTCAGACACCTCTGATTCTTCCCCTGATGACATCATCAGAATATTAAGGAAGGCCAAATCATTCAACGTCCTAATTCGTCTAATGAAAACCACCCAATTGATCAACCAAATCAATGCTCAGCTCATAACCATAAAATCAGGTGGCTTAACCATCTTTGCCCCAGATGACAATAGCTTTTCACAACTCAAAGTAGGATTTCTCAACTCTCTGGGTGACAATCAAAAGATCGAACTCCTGCAGTTCCATATTCTTCCCACGTACGTTTCAAGCTTAAACTTTGATTCTCTGAGCAACCCGGTGAGAACACTAGCTGGGGATAACCCTGCCAGGTTGCAACTAAACGTGACTTCATATGGCAACAATGTGAATATCTCAACAGGAGTGGTTAATGCCACGGTCACAGGAGTGGTATACTCAGATAAGGTACTTGCTATATATCATGTGGATAAGGTGCTTCTTCCTTTGGACTTCTTCAAGCCTAAGCCAACCTCTCCCGCACCCTCTCCTGCAATAGCGCCAAAAGCTGATAATGATAACTCATCCGCTGATGATAGCCTTGGAACATCCAAGGACAGCGCTGGCTCATGCAGTTTGATGAGTACTCAAGGAACAACGTTGGTGTCCCTTGGAGTTGCTTTAGTTGGATTGGTGATTCTTTCAAGTTGAAGGCTGGCCGACCAGACCAGACAATCTATTTGATGATTTTGAAATTTATGTTCTTTATCTGAGCTGCGGAAGAGTGCTGTTTGAGGGACATGTGAACTGTGAAGCGTTGAGTTGTTTAGATGTGTTTCTTTTGATACAATTAAGATTGTTTTTGTGTGAATTTTCATGGACAACCAAAATTTTCATCTCCAACTAAATGGAGTTAAGTTGATACATAATAGAACGTGGGAACAAATCTACCAGGACTTTCCTCAGTTTCCAATCATTGAGAGATAAAACTAGGAATTCGCAATTTAGAAGAGTTTGATAAGGAACTTGCAAAGCAGACCAAGAACATAATTCAATAAATAGTTTCATTATGAACTGTAAAAGAAAGACTCGAGGTTGTAGACAAATTGAAGGACCTTATGGTGGCTATCTTAAAATTTATATGGGAAGCTTTTCTGTGTCTGTATATGGCTTGTACTACTAGAGACACAAATCTCCACTTTAGAGAAAAATGAGGTGATTGAATTGAGAGATTCAAGGTTGGTTGTGGGAGCTGAATAGAAATTATGGGAAAATAAATTCCATGAATTGTTACTTGGTCTTGAGCTTACAGGTTTCCCATTTTTGGCAGAACTTAGTCCACCTTTCGGATTGTACTCAAAGAGAATGTCCAAGAATGAGTATGGCTGCTGAGAACATTAGTGTTAAAATTCTACAATTTTTCTAAATCACCTTTTTGACTGCTTTAATTATGTTTGTCATTTCAGTATGTTTGTGTGTGACAATGATAATGGTTAGTTAAGTAGATATGAGTTTAGTCTGATTTTGCTCGCATTTGTACTCAAAGTGATAGTGGGTATATGATCTTTTGTGACATGTATGGTTATCATGATGGGAGTCATTCCTCTTGTATTTTTACTTAAATATAAATCAATGTATGGAGAATAATATGGTTTAACAGCAAATAGAAAATCGTTGTGTTTCACTTCACTTTTCATGTTATGGTTCTTTTTTATGGTTTAAGGTATAAGCCATCTATAATGTGCTAGGGAGGTAATATTTGGTTAAAAGAAAAACCAACCTTCTTCTAACGAGAACCATTGGAAGAGTAAGTGCAAGATGCCAGTTGGTAAGTTACAATTCAACAGTAGAAGTCATAACTCCTATAATTGCTGCATTGCATGGATTTATTTGTACAGTTGTACTTGGATCACTCTATCAACGTCTATTCCATTTCCTGATCCATGTTACTAAGTTGCGTGTTTTAGACATACAAAATAATTTGTAGAGCTCCTTGCTAATTTTTCAGGTTCCTGTCCCTTTTTCCAACTACACTGTTTTTACAAAATGATTCTAGAAAGCATGCATCTCATATGTCTATTATCAGCAAAGTTGCCAGTAATAATCAGATAAAAAATCCCCATTCTCCACAATAAGGGGGTATACCCTTCACAACTACAAATTTCACCTGCTGTTAAACAGAAATTTCATCAAATCATTATTTCCTTTGCTGCTACATATAAATCATCAAATCATATCCACAAGTGAGATCTTTATATGGGTTAAAATGTCTTGTCCCAGTTTGTGCTACAATCAAAAGGTTGTAATGTCTTTATATCAAAATTCAAGAGTGTAAGGTTTTGGAAGTAAAAAGTTTTACTCTGTCAATAAATTAAAATCATAATTTGTATGGCTTTTAAAGAAGGTATTTATAAGTTAATAAACTCATCATACGTACTGATTTGTAATGAGATACTGTAAAAGTCCTTTTCATTATTAATGAACTTACTATTTACTAAGTTTTAATTCTGGAAATTTTATGCTTGATTTAAAAATCTAATTTAAAACTGAAGCTCACAAAGTTTCAACATGAAGGAAAAACTAAAACATAATTATGGAGCAAATAGGATAAAAAGAAAACTCAACCTTCTCCCAATTGACACCATTTTGAATTGGAAGTTCAGAATGCCAGTAGGAGGAGTTCCAATCAATGGCTCTTCCAGATCCATGTTATTAAAGTATATCTCATAAACATACTTTAAAATTCTTGCCTCTCTACATTGTCATTAATCATCTCCAACTACATACTACAAACATGTTAATATATTTAACCTATTTATTTGCAAATATACGTTTGTTATTCTCAGCTCACCATATCTGAACTCACTATTCATGTACCCTATATAATTAAACTTAAGCAATGTTTGGAAAACATGCCAACAATAATTAGATAAAGGATCCTTGTTCTCTGTGATAGATGGGATATTTCTTCACACTCCACAACCAACAGATATCATAGCCATAAACATTACACCAACCTATCATTTTCTTCGCCTGTATATAATCCCTCTCCTTCACACATCCCACACATCAGACACACAGATTGCAAGAATCATTAATTCCAATCATTCACATTCTTCCAGAATCATCAAAGCCATCTACTGGCTTGACTTAGCACAAGGAAGATGAAACAAGCAATCTTTTTCGCCTTTTCACTCTTCCTACTCCACTCCTTCACCACCATGGCCATTTCACTGGCACCTGCAGCAGCCCCAAAAGCCCCTGCAGCTAAAACCCCACATACTCCAAAGGCTGCAGCACCATCACCAAAACCGTTAGTCCCCACATTACCTCAGTCTCCAGATTCCCCTGACTCTGTCCCTGACGACATCACCAGAATACTCAAAAAGGCCAAAATTTTCTCAACCCTAATCCGCCTCCTCAAAACCACTGAAATCATGAACAACATCAACTCACAGCTCATAACAGCCAAGAACGGGGGCATAACCATTCTTGCACCAGATGATTCTGCCTTTTCCAACCTCAAAGCTGGCTTCCTCAATTCCCTTAATGCAGGACAGAAAATCGAACTTGTGCAGTTCCACATATTGCCAGAGTTTGTGTCCACCTCAAACTTTGATTCTCTAAACAACCCTGTGCAGACAGTGGCTGGAAAAGACCCTGTAAGGCTTCCATTGAACGTGAATGCATTAGGTAATAGTGTCAACATCTCAACTGGGGTGGTCGATGCCACCATTCTGGGGGTAGTGTACTCGGATAATAAACTTGGGATTTATCACGTGGACAAGGTGCTTCTTCCTCTAGATTTCTTTGTAACTGATAAGGCTCCAGCTTTGGCTCCTTCATCTCTTGCAAAGGCTCCCAAAGCAGCTAAGGAAAACTCTTCTGACGACGATCAAGAAGAAACAAACCAGGATCACAATAAATCTGGGGCACTCAGTTTGGGTAGCATTAGTGGAACAAAGTTGATATCAGTTGGAATAGCCTTGGTCACTATGGCAACCATGTGGAGTTGATCCATTTTGCAGCTGCACTTTCAGTTTTCTTTGTCGTTAATTTCTTTATTTGTGCTTTTTTTTGTTTATTTTTTGTTCTCTGTTTGTCGTTTCTTGTGTTTTGGATATTATGGAAAGGGAAAGAATGCTTGAATGATTAACGATTCTTCTCTGAAATTGTTCCTATCATTTTTGCTTTATATTTTAGGCCAGGAATGAATTCATGTTTCACAACTCCAATCCTCTTTTTTCCGTTTCGCCATCAGGGGTGTGGGAATTCTCAGCGTTGCAGCCTGGAGCTTCATGTTTTCTTCAATGGTGCTTTGTTGTGTTTCCTCTTTTTCATATTTACCCCCACTGTTATCTATAACTATACAAGAACTGTCCAAAGTTGCCAAATATAGTTGTTCCATATTATGAGTGTTCTTCTTTTGAAATAATAGAAAGAAATACATATAAACTATTTTAGGTGACGACTCATCATGTATGAGATGCATTAATAATAGTCAAAGTTGTTTGTGTTTGATTTTTTTAACAATAACATCTATAATTAATAAGAAGAGTGGATTTATATCCAGAAGTAATAACTGCACATCTTTAGAAGAGTTTATCTCCATTTGTGGTACACACAGTTGTGAGGTTTTTATATTATTCATGGACTGGGTGTCATGCTTGAATTTATCTTTGAAATTTGAACTGAAGCTTAAGAATATGAACAACAAAATCAAAAGTTCAAAGTCTGCTTAAATCATTTCCGTTAACATGCATCAGATACATTATCTTTTAAGAGTTATATTATTCATATAATATGTTAATAATCATCAGAAATGCTATTCGGAGCTAATATGCTAAAAGGCAAAATCAATCTTCTCCAAGTCCCAACTGATATTAGAAGACTATAGAATCTGGGAAGTGCAATTTATAGAAATCCTAACTCCCAAAATAACTGAATTGCTCTAGTTTTAGTAAAATTGTACTCTGATCTGCATCAATGTCTTCTTCTCTGTTTTATGATCCATGCTACCAAGTTTTATTATGAAATGGTTCGCAACTGCGATAATGACCAGAAAGTTATTATGAAAGTTATTATCAAAGTTTCCTTAATATAAATGCTTCATATTAACTGTATTTGTATCTAATTTTTCACCATATCGACAAATCAAGATCTCAGTCACAGTTTAAAACCTAGCATCTTATAGAAATACAAAACATTTGCAACAACTCCTTACTATTTGTCAGGGATCCTCTGCATGGTGGGTGTCACTCCCTTTCTCCAACTATTTTTTTTTCTTACAAAGATGTTACAGAACAAGTGTCCATTTATTAGGTCATCATTATCATATGTCAAGTATTTCAGATGTCCATTATCAGCAAAGATGCCAACAATAATTACATCCTCATTCTTCATGCCAGATGGGATATACCCTCCACACAGCTACACATTTTACAACTTGTTAGCCACAACATTTCACCAATACATCATTTCTTTTACTTCTGTATAACCCCACACTTACGCTAAAAACAAGTTGTGATGTCTTTGTTCTTTATATAATATTTATGTACAAGACGAAAGATCAAATTTTTAAAAGTGAAAATGTAATTCCTGATTATCCGAAGCCATATAAGTTCAATATGTTGAGCAAAAACTGAAACTAAGTCGTCTTCTTGAATTATTTCCACCGCATGTATCTAGAACATGGTTTTGGATTCCAATATTCTTTTTCAGGCTATATGTTATTCGTATAATTTGTTATATCAAGTGAGATGTTTGGGAGGTAATTCGGTAAAAAAAGAAGAACCAACCTTCTCCCAAATAAAAACGATCGAATAAATTCCATTAGGAGAATTCCAATTCAATTACTCAACTCCCAAAGTCGTTGAACTTCATTGATTTAATTTATTTGTGTCAAGTGGATATGTGTCAATTGCTTCAACTCTGTTTTACTAAATTACATCTTATAAATTTACTTTAACAATTATAGCTGAGCTATTTTTAGGGGTTCACTAGCCTCTCTACATTGTCATTCCGTTCTTCAAATACATTCTACAAAAATATTAAAAGCAGGTACTTCATGTGTCCATTCTCGGTTCACCATATCTGAACTCAATACTTAAACTAATTTATGCCAATAATGTTTAGATAAAAGATCCGGGCTCTCCATGACAGATGGGATATCCCTCAGACTCCATAGCTAACAATTTCACAGCCATAACATTTCACCAACCTATCATTTCCCTGACCTCTGATCTCTTCTTTATAACCCCTTTGCTTCACAAGTCCCACACATCAAACACAAATTGCTAGAATCATTTTCACTTTCTTCCAAAATCATCAAAACCATCTAGGCTTGAGTTGGCAACTGGAACATGAAACAGGCAAACCTTTTCTCCATCTCACTCTTCCTACTCTTTTGCTCCACCACCTTGGCCATTTCACCTGCACCTGCAGCAGCACCAAAAGCCCCTGCAGCAAAAACTCCACATACTCCAAATGCTGCAGCACCATCACCAAAACCATTAGTCCCTACATTACCTCAGTCTCCAGACTCGCCTGACTCTGTCCCCGATGACATTACCAGAATCCTCAAAAAGGCCAAAATGTTCTCAACCTTAATCCGCCTCCTGAAAACTACTGAAATCATGAACAACATCAACTCACAGCTCATAACAGCCAAGAGTGGGGGCATAACCATTCTTGCACCAGATGATTCTGCCTTTTCCAACCTCAAAGCTGGCTTCCTCAACTCCCTTAATGAAGGACAGAAAATCGAACTTGTGCAGTTTCACATTTTGCCAGAGTTTGTGTCCACCTCAAACTTTGATTCTCTAAGCAACCCTGTGCAGACGGTGGCTGGAAAAGACCCTGTAAGGCTTCCACTGAATGTGAACGCATTAGGTAACAGTGTCAACATTTCAACTGGGGTGGTCAATGCCACCATTCTGGGGGTAGTGTACTCGGATAATAAACTTGGGATTTATCACGTGGACAAGGTGCTTCTTCCTCTAGATTTCTTTGTAACCGATAAGGCTCCAGCTTTGGCTCCTTCATCTCTTGCAAAGGCTCCCAAAGATGCGAAGGATAACTCTTCCGAGGATGATCAAGAGGAAACTAAGCAGGATCAAAACAAATCTGCGGCAATGAGTTTGGTTGGCATTGGTGGAACAACGTTCATGTCACTTGGAATAGCTTTGGTCGCAGTGGCAACCAAGTGGAGTTGATGATCCAATTGGCAGCTGCATTTTTTCAATTTTCATTGTTAATTTTTTTTTTTCCATTTTTGTTTAAAATTTGATACGTGTTTCTGGTGTTGTATCAGTGTTATGAAATGGGGGTGAATCCTACAATGTTTAATGATTTTTCTGATTTCTTGTTTTGGAAAGAAGTCTGAGAGTAATTTAACTCGAAAGTTGTGCATTGTATTGTACGTAGTATGGTCCATTTCCAATTAATTTATTGCATAAATTTGAAAGGATTCATTTGTTTATAGTAGACTATTAAAGTTGCATTGGTGAATTAATTTGTACGTGGCTTTGTTGCGTAAAATCCTATAAATACATATTAATTACGTGTTATCAATATGATATAAATATGTTAAATTTCCATATACAACTATAAATACAAATAAATATAAGAATTGTTTTGAATTATTATTTGTTACGCGTGATCTTTATTAGTTTTTAATTTTTATTTATTATTATTTATGTAATTTAAATATTTTTATATTTAATTGTATTTTGGATTTATAATTAACTATTTGATTAGATCGAATATAAAGAATTTGATTGTTTATTATTTTTATTTTTTATTTTTATTATGACAATTATATAGTTTATTTATTTTTATTAATATCCCTTAAAATGTTTATTGGATAATCTAATATGATTGAGTTATACTCACTTCATTTAACATGTATGTTAAGAGACAAATTTTATACGTTGAGCTAAAATTATTTCTAAAAAAACTAACAAAATATTGAAATTAAAAATTATAAAAGAAATATTTTTAAAACATGTGATTTAATCGAACAAGTTCTATCTAATTATATCCAAGTGTACCTCTAAAAACTATTAAAAGACAGCCAAATTCAATATACAATTTTTATTCTTAGATTTGATGGTGATTGAAAAAACCGACCAAACCTAACTTATATATAACTTTGGATGTTGATAGATCAACCAACGTTAACTTTCCAACCAAAAACTTATGTAGATGATTCTTGAATTATATGTTTTTTATTTTATTTTAAATAACTATAAATGTCGATGTATGATATGATGATGTTTTTTTTATTATTATTATTATTTTCGCACTGAATCTAAAAGATCATTTATTCCAGTTGTATTTCGATTACAGAAATAAGAGATTTATTATTACTATATCAATCCTCTATTCACAAAACTACATACAGAGTAAACATGTAAAAATAAAATAAAATTAAATACCAGCATTATCTTTAAATGAAACTAATAATTTCCAACATTTTAATGAAATAATATTTTTCCTTTTTTCCGGACAATATTTTAAAATTTAAAATATATTAAATATGACACGTTTTCTTAAAAGAATTTATAAAAAAGTGAGTTTGGTAAGTTTATAGTGGAAATCAAGTGAGTTGTTTAAAATTTTGCTGAACAATATGATTAATTCAGTATGGTGAACTGAACTTTGCAGACAATTAACAGAAATATATTTTGTGCATAAAGCAACTATAAAATTATGGAAACGAATTTGTACATTAATTTATAAAAGAAATTGAATTATTGATAGTAATGTTGTATAATTTACATGAAGACACGTAATCATTGCTCTTTATATTAAAATCCACTAGAAAGCGAGTTCTGATGAGCTAAAACGTGATGGATTCTACAGATACATTCATTTCAGCCATCACTTTTTCCAACGTTTCAATCTTCATTGATGCACCACCATAATCTCCTTGTCGGATAATGAGAGTATGTCTCACACTCTATTTTTCATGTACCTTTCAAGCAAGAACTAACTGCTTTGTCACCTTAATCTCATACCCTTATGTATATATATCTTCATTGATGCAACACCTAAATATCAACACAAGATATGTTCATAAATCACAATTAATGGTTGTACAACATAGCCCTCCACCTACCTGTCTTTTTCTCAGCTGCAATATAAAAAGCCTATGCATGCATTTCATCAATGCATCAATTGCACATTGCAATTACAGTTGTTATCATTTGCAATCATTTCAAATATCATCCAAAGCTTCATTCAACAAAAGCAAAATGATCAAAAAGCAAGGTTTCTTGTCCTTCTTACTACCATTGCTACTTTCATTTTTGTATTCCACAACCATTTTAGCCCAATTATCACCAGCTTCTGCCCCTCTCAAACCACCCCAACCTGTCCCAACCCCACCAGCTGAGGCTCCTAAACCATTGGTTCCCTCATTGCCAGAGTCACCAAGTGATTCCACCCCTGAAACTCCAACTGTTGATATTGTTGGAATCCTGAGGCAGGCAAAGTCATTCAACATCCTTATCCGTCTCATGAAAACCACCCAATTGATTAACCAACTCAATGCACAACTCCTCACTACTAAATCAGGTGGCATCACCATTCTTGCACCTGATGACAGTGCCTTCTCTGAACTCAAAGCAGGTTTCCTCAACTCTCTTTCAGATGGCCAAAAGCTCGAGCTCTTACAGTTCCACGTTCTATCAGACTACGTATCTAGCTCAAACTTTGATACTCTAACCAACCCTGTGAGAACACTTGCAGGGGCTAAACCTGGAAAGGTGGAACTGAATGTGATAAGTTACGGAGGTAGTGTGAACATCTCAACGGGTGAGGTTAACACAACCATCACTGGAATTGTATACACGGATAAGCATCTTGCTATTTACAAGGTGGGGAAGGTGCTTCTTCCTATGGATTTTTTCACTGTTGCTAAGGCACCTGCGAAGGCACCCTCATTGGCTCCAGAACCTTCAAGTGGTGTAGCAAAGGCGCCTAAAACTGATACGGATGAGTCATCATCTTCAGATTCCTCACATGTTAATCCTACAGAACAGAACTCTGGAACCGAGAAGATCAGTGTGCACGGAAATTTAGTGCCACTTGGACTTGGAGTTGCACTTGCACTTGTGGCGACAATTATCTGAACTTGATGGAGGGTGGATTTCGCAGCTATGAATTTCGTTCTTTAAAACACGCTTGTCTTTTATGTATGTTGTTGTTTCGTTTGAGACATATCTGAAGTATGTAAAAGGTTTGCATGGTTGTGGTGTTTTCTCTTTTCATAAAATATATAGAGATAAGTTCTAATACTTGCAACGTGAAACGCAATGATAATGGCCTTTGAATGAACTTAACTATAGTCTTATAAGATTTTGTCAGAACATGCTGCTACTGTTAGAAACTTGCAAAGTGTTGCTTAACGTCTTAATTTCATTATCATTTTTAATAAAGTTTCAAAACAGGATTACTGTCTGTAATTAATTTAAGCTAAGTTGGAAAACTTGGACTGGTTGAAAAAGGTTTTCATTGGATATATGAAATATGATTGGATAGCATAGCATGAAGGCAGTCACATTGGTACGTATGTGACTGGGCAGTGCACAAAATTACCGATTCTGTTTCAAATCTAAGCCAAATATTCCAATTTTGGAAAAAAGTCGAGTTGCTTGATTGAAGGATGATTCTCAAAATTTCATCTCTGAAGTTTTCTATGCCCCTGGCCTTCATAACAATTTATTAAGAATGGACAACTAATATGCAAATTCATCATGACAATTGATTGATAAAAATAGGAGATCTATTGTGAAGGTAACTGTCTATTCCCTTTCAAAGGTCAACATGATAAAATTTGTTGCTTAAATTCCATTATACAAAATGATGAACAGTTATAATACCATAAAATTATTTTAATATTAATATTTTAAAATTTAAATTTAAATATAAAATAGAGCGGGAATGAAGTCGGGATAGAGACTATATTATCCATTCCCGTGCTCGCTCTCGATTTTTTTAAAGCGGAGAAAACCCTCGTCAACTCCAATACTACGTTATATCATCCTATTATTATTATTATTTTTTTACAAAATGCCATTTTTATTTCTTTTAAATTCATAGAATACATAATTATAGTAATTAAAGAATTATTTTTTTATTAGAATGATTAGAAATTGAAGCTATAGATATATATTATAATTCAAGTTGTTTGATCAAACTTATTTATGACTATAGTGTTATTTTTATAATTTAAATTAAACTGATTAATAATGCTAATATATGACTTTTTTCAGTATCTAATAGTTTTTATTTTCCTTTAAATTGGGCATTTAATAAATTAAATTTTTAATTTATGTTTTATTGTTATCTCTGTCAGTTCTATCATCACGTGTTGGTGTCACGTGACTGAAGAATGATATATATTAAGTCTATCTTATTAGTTGGAGTGGCATTATATGTATATGAAAAAACATAAGTTAAAGGACCAAAGGAGAAATATAAAACTATTTTAAGAATCAATTAAAAGAGTTAAAATAATAATATAGACAAAATAATAAAGTTTTCAATATACTATTGATTTTTATCTTGAGTTCCTAATAAAAATTTCTTCAAATAGAGTATCTAATGAATTATTATTTTTTGTTACTATTTACGTGTCCATTAAATTTAAACACGTGTCACACTATTAATAAATGATATTATTAAGTCTCTTTATGTTTTCTACAATATTATTATGTAAAACATACTAACTATAATGATAAAACTGTAAGTTGAAGGACCAACATGAAAATTTCAAAATATTTCTTTAAAAAAATCAACATAATAGTAGGGACTTAAGTCATAATTTAAAAAAGTATTGGATACTCAGAAGATAAATCAATCTTGCATAGGGGAACCATGAAAAAATAGCTAGTATGAAATTTTCAATCATAAAATTCAATATTTCACCCTTTTACCATCAACAATGTGTTTTAATTTTTTAAATAATGTATTCAAGAATGATTTTTAATTTTCTCAAAATTATTTTTATGGAGAGGTAAGAATTTATATTTTTGGAATTAAAAGAAATCTTTTACTATGAAGAGAAAATCATAGTATTCTTATTGATTATTATTTCATGTGGTAAATTAAAACTTTTAGTAAAAATAACACATTAATCTTAGAAAAGTCATATAAATATTTAAAAGTAATTATTTTTACATATTTTAGTAATTTTAACCATCATACCTTAAATATTCATGATTTATTTGAAAAAAAAAACAATTCTAATTTTGTTTTTATTACGACGTATTTAAAGTAAGCTTGTTAATCTACATAGGAGTCTATTTAAAATATTTTAAAATGCATTGTTTGAATTGGGATAGAAAATAATAATAATTTTTTATTATAAAATTTAATAAATCAAAACATAAATCGAGTTGAGAAAATAATTTTAAATTTTACATTACAAAAAACCTCCTTATTTATATTTTATAGTTTATTTTTAAAGACATCAACTCTGTTCCACCAATGCAGACCAAATTCACTGTCCTCGATTTTTGTGATCATCTTGTGTTTCATTCTGTTCGTCCTCAGAAGAGTTTTCCTTAGAAGCTTTGGGAGCCTTTGCAAGAGATGAAGGAGCGAAAGCTGGAGCCTTATCAGTTACTGAGAAATCTAGAGGAAGAAGCATCTTGTCCACATGATAAATCCCAAGTTTGTTATCCGAGTATATATACTACCCAAGAATGATGGCATTGACCACCCAGTTGAAAATTAACGTGGAAGCCTTGCACGGTTTTATTTTTTATTTAAATAAGATATTATGAAATTTTGATTTTTTTTATTATGATTAAGATATTATTAATATTTAATACCATAAAACCTAAAAAATTGTCCTGATATAAGAGTTTTGGGTCTTACAAGAAAATAAAAGAAGAAATAAGTTTTTATAAGTCCAATTTTCGATAACAAAAATTATGACTTATAGGTTATGGGAGAAAATTTCATTACAGTTTAAATCAAATTTCACAAAGAAAGAAAAATGAGAAAGACAAAAGCTAAATTATGTATATTTGTTGGTGTTTCACAAATTATCCTTATTAGAATTATGATACTAAAGTCATCCAAAAAAATTTAAGATTATTTGAAAAATCAATATGAAGGGGATGAGAAAATTTATGATATGAAAGTTCTAAACTTGATAAAAGAATTTGAGATACAAAGGATGCAAGAGTTTGAGACAATTAATGAATACTCAAACAATTTGTTGGTATTGTTAAGAAGATAAAATATTAGATAAGAAATTTCCTGATTCCATAATAGTTGAGAAAATTATGGTAATTGTGCCGGAAATATATGAAACATTTATTGTTTTATTGAAAAAACACAAAGGAGTTCTCAAATATTACTTTTGGCATAAGTGTTACATGCTTTACAAGCGCAAGAGCAATAAAGATAGATGAGAGGAGATCAGGATGTTGTTGAAAGTTTTTTACTATATCATGGGTGAAGGTTCTCTCAGAGCCAAAAACAACAAAGGTAACAAATTATTTGTCTTTTATGTCTGTCCTTATTACAAGAAAAATAATCACCTACACAAATGTTGGTAGAGACCTGATGTGAAATGTTACAAATGTGGTCAATTTGGACATATAGAAAATATACGCAAATCACAACAAAAAAAAGTCATCAAGATTATAAAAGATGAAGTAGAAGGGAAAATTCCCCTTATGTCAACAAATTCACAGGTTGACTTATAGACAGTGGTTGTACAAACCACATGACTCGTGATCGAGAACTTTTCAAAAAACTCAACAAATCTGCTATTTTTGAAGTGAAAATTGGTAATGAGAACAAATGAATGTGAAAGGTATATGAACAATTGCACTTAAAAGTCATTTGAGTGTCAAATTAAATTTTGATGTTTTATATGTTCCTTATATTAATCATAATTTATTAAGTATTGTTCAATTATTAGAAAAAATTATAAGATATCTTTTGAACACAAATTTTATGTGATTAAAGATACACATAATTTGAAAGTATTGAAAAGGAAAAAAATTTCACTTTATATTTAATAAAAGAAAAGTTGACTATAAACATGATATACAAAAAAGTTAAAAGAAAAAACATAATAAATATTTGTTAAAAAAATTAAAGTTAAAGAGAAAAATAAAAATGTAGAAGAAAGATTTGAACTTTCATCAAAGGAATGATACTACCAAGTTGATAAAAAAAATATTTTTCTAAAAAAAGATGACCACAAGTACATACAAAATAAAGAGAAAAAAATCTCAAACAAAATAAATAAAGAATATCAAATTTAAATAAATATTAAAGTAAAAAAATATTATTATATTATTTTTTATTTAAATTAAATATTAAATTTTTTATTATCTTTTAATTTAAGAAATAAAAAAATTAAATTTAAATATTATTAATATTTAATATTTTATCATAATTTTAATATATATATATATATATATATATATATAATAAATTACATAAATAAAATATATACCATAAAATGTATTTCCCATATAAAAATATATATCACACATCCCTAAAAATTCCGATCTCAGGCGGACAGAAACTCTGGCAATATGTGAAAACTGCGAGTTCTTTTTTTCTGGCCTTTGTTTAGGGAGTTGAGGAAGCCTGCTTTGAGGTTGGAAAAGGCGGAGTCATCTGGTGCAAGGATGGTTATGCCCCCACTCATGGCTGTTATGAGCTGTGAGTTGATGTTGTTCATGATTTCGGTGGTTTTGAGGAGGCGGATTAAGGTTGAGAACATTTTGGCCTTTTTGAGGATTCTAGTGATGCCATCAGGGACAGAGTCAGGGGAGTCCGGAGACTGAGGTAATGTGGGGACTAATGGTTTTGGTGATGGTGCTGCAGCCTTTGGGATAGGGGGTGTTTTTGCTGCAGGGGCTGCTTTAGGTGCGGCGGGTGAAATGGCGAAGGTGGTAGAGGAAAAGAGTTGGAAGAATGAGAAGGAGAAAAGGGTTAATTGCTTCATCTTCCAGTTGGCAATTGAAGACTGTAGATGGCTTTGATGATTCTGGAAGAATTTGAAAGACTGGATTAATGATTGTTGGTATTTGTGTTTGAAAGGTGGGATGAGTGGAAGAGAGGGGCTATGTAGAAACCAGAGGCTTTGGAAATGATGGGTTGGTGAAATGTTAAGGGTGTGAAAATTGTTATATTCCCATCTGATGGTGAAAATGGTTCTTCTATCTAATTATTATGGCATATGTGCCTAATGGATGCTTTTGGTTGGCATGATGAGAATGGACACATCAAATACCTGATTTTAACCTGTTTGTGGCATGTAGTTGTCCAAGGTGAATGACAATGGAGAGGCTATGAATATTTAGAAGATGTACTTCAATAACATGGATTATAGATAGGAAAACGTGATTAGAGGAGACTTTATTAAAATTAATAAAGAAGATTTTCAGAAAAAAATTAATATTACCAATATCGAATAATATTTTGTATTAATAAAGCTAGAGTTTTTTAAGCAAACGAAAATGGAAGGAAAAATCTGTTTATAGATATATAAACACTGTGTATATACGATGAACAATCAGTAAAATCTTAATTCAACTTTCCCTTATCTCTCAACATATGCATCTCATATCACGGATCCAATCATCATCAAAGCAAACCCAACAATAAAAGACATCCACATTCCATTTATGTTGTTGAAATTTGTGGAAGCAGCAGAAGCATCTGCCGGAACAGCACCACCACCATCATCATCATCATCATCATCAATATTTTTGTTACTATCACCACTTTTATCTGCAGATGACTTCCTTTTAGGTGATTCTCCTTTTGACGGAGACGGTGCCGGAGCCTTTGGCTTAGGAAGAACCACGTCAAGTGGAAGAAGCACCTTGTCCACCTCATAAATAGCAAGCTTGTTGTCTGTATACACGGTGCCCGTAACGGTGGCATTGACGGCACCAGTGCTCATGCTCACATGGCCGCCACCGTAAGTGGTGATGTTAAGTTGCAACCTTTGGGGGTCATCACCGGCTTGGGTCTGAACAGGGTTGGTGAGAGTGTCGAAGTTGGGGATTGAGATGAAGGAAGAAAGAGTGTGGAATTGTAGGAGTTCCACCTTTTGCCTGTCGTTGAGTGAGTTCAGGAACCCTCCTTTTAGCTTTGAAAAGGCTCTGTCAGGTGGGGACAAAATGGTCAATCCCCCGGAACCTGATGTCATGAGTTGAGAGTTGAGTTGGTTTATCAACTGGGTTGTCTTCAGAAGTCGAATCAGAACAGAAAACCTTTTGGCCTTACTCAGTACTTGAGCTATGTCAAAGGTAGGAGCTTTTGGGGTGGCGGGAGTTGGGGCACCATTAGGGGACACTGGTACCAATGGAACAGTATTCATTCCCGATGGAGATGCCAATGGTGATTGTGGTACTGTTGTGATAGAGGGAGATACTGCGGATGATTGTTGAGCTGATGTGGTGACTATCACAAGTACAAGTGTGGCACAGAAGATGAGAGAATATTGCATCATCATTTTGTGTTATAGAAATGGAATGTTGTACTGATTGTTTTGAACACTAGACTGTAATATGCTGCTGCTGTTGTCTGTTATGATGTGAGGAAAATGGAAGAAAGTGGCTTGCTTTTTATATTGAGGCAGGGAAAGAATGATGTGTACAAGGAGTGCGTTAGAAAGATTAAACTTAGCTCTGTAAACAATTTTCAGTTACTATCATGGAAAGTTGGAGCATCAACCAGGATAGCTGGTGAGAGATCGAGAACAACTTAGTTGGCATTGAGAAGTAGCAGAAACGAAGTGTTGGCAGGTGCATTAAGATGTGAACATTTGCAACTATTTTGCTTTCACATCATAATTCATAGGTATCACCATACATCAATTGGATTTGGATGCACGGATGGATCTATGAAAATCTCACTTGAAAGGCGCATGACGACTCTGTATACTTGTTGTGTATGCATCAATAAAAATTGATAGTCATTGTCCTGATCACTGACAGGTTGTTGCTAGTGCAGGAACTTGTATTAGGTGAGATGGTGAGATCTGCCATACTCTTTTCACTGTATGATGTCAAAAACTAAAAAAAGTAAACCCTGTACTTTGGTCCACATTGCTTGTTATGTTGTATTGGAGCAGATCTTGAAGCATTACCAAAATAAAAGAATGTTCCAAAAATTTATATATTTCGGTTTAATGTTTTATATGTAGACAAACAAGTATCTAAATAAAACACTTTGTATATTATCACTTGATGTATTTGCAATGAGTGATGCATGGTCAATTTATAGGCCCTTTGGATATGGCCTCTCAACTACATGCATTTAATACAACTACTACCTTTCAACTACATACATTCAATACAACAACTACCTCTCAACTACTACCTCTATAACCACTACCTCTCAACTACATGCATTTAATGTTTACCTAACAAAATCCCCCCATAAACTTAAATGCTTTTTTTGTCCTTCATTCCAAGCATCTTCTTGTTGTTCTCGAACAGAGTGGTTGACAGTGGCTTCGTGAACATATCTCGCAGCCTTGTGTTTGGGTTCCGACGTGCTCTAACTCCACATTTCCTTCTTTCACTTGTTCTCTGGATGAAATGAAATCGAACATCAATATGTTTGCTTCTCTCATGATTGACCGGATTCTTTGCCAATTCAATGGCCGACTTGTTATCAACTCGAATCACAGATCCCTCTTTCTTGCTTCAACTCCAGCTTGCTTAGAAGGTTTCTAAGCCAAACCGCATGATAGTACACTCCAGGATGCAGCGAACGTACTCGGCTTCACAAGTTGACAACGTTATAATGAGCCGCTTTTTGAAAGCCAGGTGAATGCTCGTGTTTCCCATGAAGAATACATATCCAGACGTGCTTTTCCTGGTCATCAACATCTCCACACCAGCCACTATCCGAGTAGCCTACTAGTCGATAATCATCCGTCCTAGTATACATTAGGCCAAGTGACAATGTTCTTCTCACATACCTTAGAATTCTCTTTAGTGCCTTCCAATGAGTATACCTTGGCTCCTCCATATATCGACTTGCTATTCCAACACTTAGCATTAAATCTGGTCTCAGTATTTGTAAGATACCTAAGACTTCCAATCGACTTCGGTATTTACTCGCATCAACTCTGGCCTCCATCTCGCATACTTAGAAAGTTTTGTACCAGGTTCCATAGGGGTGGAAACCGGGTTGCAACTTGTCATCTTAAACTTCTTCAAGATCTCCTCAAGATACATTTCCTGCGACACAAAGATGCCATCCTTTCCCCGAACAACTACTAAGCCAAGAAAATACTTCATAAGACCCAAGTCAGCTCATCTCAAACTCCTTCTTCATCACTTCTTTAAACTCTTCAATTAGCTCTGCATTATTCCCCATGAAGATAAGATCATCAACATATAGGGCAACAAACATCACATCTTCTCCTTTCTTCTTTATGTATAGAGCATGTTCATAGGGACACTCGCTCATATCCATTCCTTTTGAAGTAAGTGTCAATTCTTTCATTCCATGCTCGTGGAGCTTGTTTCAAGCCATAAAGTGCCTTCTTCAATCTCAAGACTTTCTTCTCTTCTCCTCTTCGCATGTATCCGAGTGGTTGTTCAACATATACTTCCTCCTCCAAGATTCCATTCGAAATGCCGACTTCACGTCCATCCGCAAGATTGTCCATCCGTGTTGAGCCGCTAAGGAAATCAAGCAACCTAATTGTTTCCATTCTCGTCATCGGGCGAATACTTCGTCATAGTCTATTCCTTCTTTCGCTTGTACCCCTTCACTACGAGTCGAGCTTTATATCGTTCAACTTCTCCTTCAAGCATTTGTCTTCTTCTTGTACACCCACTTTACGCCGATAGGTCGTGCTCCTTTGGGCAAATCGCTTAGCTCCCATGTGTTGTTGTGTTCTATTGCTCCGATCTTCTCGTCCATTGCCTTTCTCCACCTTTTCTCCCGCACGGCCTCTTCAAAACTTAAGTCTTCGAATCCGCCAAGAGACATACAACATGCACTTCGTCGATGGAGTTGTATATATCTTGTAAACTTCGCGCTCCGGGTCGTAGAGGTTCATCTTCTTCATCGAAGTCTCATGATCTCTCACAGTATGTGGTGTATCAACTTCCGAGCTTCTACTTCCTATGGACTCCTTCTCCGGGTTGTTCCAACTCCACTCGCTTTCTTCATCAATTTGAACATCTCGGCTCATGATGACCTTCTTAGTTATTGGGTTAAACAACCTCGTACGCCTTGGTTTTTTCATCATACCCAATAAACACGTACTTTTTGCTTCTATCTTCGAGCTTGGTCCTCTCGTTGAGCTGGAACATGACCATAAGCTATGCTACCGAACACTTTAAGGTGAGACACACTCGGTTTTCTTCCACTCCAAACTTCTTGCGGCATCTTCTCGTTCAGCCTTAGCATGTGGACATCTATTTTGCACATAGATGGCACATTGCACTCGCTTCGCCCGTAACTCCTTTGGCACGTTTTGCTTCTCAACATTGTTCGAACCATGTCAAGAATGGTTCGATTCTTCCTTTCGGCAACTCCGTTTTGTTGGGATGAGTATGGTGTCGTCGTAAATCTCCTTATCCCTTGCTCCTCGCAATACTTCATGAGTTCGGATGAAATGAACTCGCCTCCTCGATCGGACCTAACGATTTGATAGGCATGCCAGCCTCTTTCTCAACCATTGCTTTAAATCTCTTGAACACCTCAAACACCTCGATTTCTCCTTCAAAAAATATACCCGTGTTTTTCTTGAAAAATCATCTATAAAAGAAATGAAATACCTTTTCCCACCGAAGGACTCAGGGGTAACCGGTCCACAAAGATCTCGTGTGAATCAATCCGAGTTGTTCCTTTGCACGGTACTCGGCCGTCCTCTGAAATGAGGTTCTCGGATGCTTCCCGAGCACACACTCTTCACAAAATTTCTTTTCAAATTCCATAGACGGAGTCCTCGCACCATCTCTTTCTTTACCAACTTGGTCGACCCGCCAAAATGCAAGTGGCCAAACCGAAAGTGCCACATCATTGCTTCATCCTTCACGTCTAGTTTCAAGCACCTCTCTTGGACTATCTTCAACTCCATCTTGTACATTCTCGTTCTTCTTCATTTCTACTCGTGCAATCAAACGATCCGACTTGTCCTTCGGGTATAGTACTCGGTCTTTCATCGAACCGAGTAGCCTTTCTCCATCACCGACCCATGCTCAGTATGTTGCTTTTGAGATCGGTACATAGTACACGCCTCTCGATTTCTCTAACTCGGCTATTCTTCCGTAGGTACCAGATTGTACCTCCGCCTTTTACCGCCACCTTTGATGCATCTCCAAATGACACGTGTCCGGCCTCAACTTTAGTGAGCTCCTTAAAAAGGTTTTTGTCCCCGCACATGTGGTTACTTGCTCCCGTATCAAGATACCAAACCGAGTTGTCGAACAGCTCTGGACTTAGCTCGACATCCGAACTTCTCGACATCATCAATACTCCTTCTTCCTCGTTGTCCTCGGAGAGGAGGTTTGTCTCCTTCTTCCTCTCGGATCGGCAGTCCTTCGCGAAATGCCCAACCTTCCCACAATTATAACATTTGATACCTGAATAGCAGTCCTTAGCAAAATGATTGTACTTCCCACATTTGAAGCACTCAACTCCGGAATTGCTTGATCGACCACCTCGGCCTCTACCGTCACGACCTCTACCTTGTCTTCGGCCACGCCGCTTTGTTGATCGACCGGCTCCTTGCCTCTTTCATATTCTCCTCTCGCCTCTACCACCTCGGCCTTGAGTGTTCCGAGCATAAGGAACCTTCTTCTCCTTTAAGATTGCCTTTGCTTGGAGTGCTTGATCAAGGGACTCCTCTTTCTTCTTCCTTCTCCGCCGCTCATGCGCTTCAAGCGACCCTAGCAAGCTCTTCCACCGAGAGCACCGACAAGTCCTTGGACTCTTCTATTGCACAAACGATATTCTCAAAATCGTCAGCTAACGACCTTAAGATTTTCTCCACCACTCTGCAAGTGGGCAGCTGTCTCTCCATTTCTTCCGAGTTGATTCACCACTGGCCTCAACACGGAGATGTACTCAGCAACCCCTTCGACCTCTTTCATCCTCATGCTTTCAAGCTCGCCTCTAAGAGTTTGAAGCCCGACTTGCTTCACGCGATTATCCCCTTTATATGCCTTCTCCAGAATATCCCACGCTTCTTTTGAAGATTTAGCATTTGCTATCTTCTCAAAGCTCGACTCATCAACAACTCGATACAGATACGTACAAAGCCGTTTTGTCCTTTACTCGTGTTGCTCTCAATGCAGCAAGTCGAGCAATCGTCCGCTTCTTCAATATTCTCTGGTTCTTGGTGCCCATTTTCGACCACATCCCATACTTCTTGGGAACCAAGGAGAGCCTTCATTTGCAGGCTCCAGTTATCATAGCTTACGCCTTTTGATAACTTTGGTAGGGGCATGCTGTTAGCTAAGTTGGCCATCTCAAACAAACTCTCTAACTCTCAAACACTCTGTCTAACGCACTCAGACACTCAGCCTCTCAAGCTCTGATGCCAATTTGTAGACAAACAAGTATCTAAATAAAACACTTTGTATATTATCACTTGATGTATTTGCAATGAGTGATGCATGGTCAATTTATAGGCCCTTTGGATATGGCCTCTCAACTACATGCATTTAATACAACTACTACCTTTCAACTACATACATTCAATACAACAACTACCTCTCAACTACTACCTCTATAACCACTACCTCTCAACTACATGCATTTAATGTTTACCTAACATTATATTCCTTCTTGTCTTATAGGTTAAATTTGAAGAATTGTTAATTGAATATGGTGCGGTTGTAGATTCTATTCTCTAACCTGGAATAGAAATGAAAGTTGAGCAACGGACCCAAAAGTTTAATGTCTTATGTTGAGTTGAGTATGGTGGCAAATTCCCTTTTGTACTTTACTCGTAGTTCATAGATAAAAATACCTAGTATTTTTCTTCCATAATCTACCAACCACATGCATGTTTGTATATTAGTTGGAAACTCAAAAATACTTTCACTTTCAAAGCAACACTATTGCAAAGCAACTGAAGAAAAGATAATAAGAATTCACATGATCATTGAATTTACTTAATGCAAATAAATACTCTCCTTTCAAGGTTCATATAAAGTTTACATTGTTGGTTTTTTTAAAGGATAACATGCATCCTTCCCTGTAAAGAAAGTAAATTAGACAAGTCAGGGATCCTATATCATCATGTAAATCAAAACCTTTTAACTGTATGCTTAACAAATCACAATTTGGTGAGAATCTACTTAGCCTGTTAAATGTAAAGTTTAATCAGATAATCAGAAGAGAAAAGTTCAATATTCTTGGGAACAGTTTGTATATATAGCAAACTGCAATGCAACCATATTTGCTTGCATTAAGCAAATCGTCTTTCTCCACCTCCTTCTATAACATTATAAATAAATATTTGAGTATGAACTGTATGTTTAACAAATCGTAGATTTAAATTTAGGACAGTGTCTATTAATTTATTCACTAGAAGACATGATAAAGCTTGTAACTATTATTACAGTAACCAAAAGTTAAAAACACAACACTTAAATTTATAGAGTAAAAAAACAATCACTCTGATACATTCACCACTTTCACTCTTTTCTCCCAATCACAAAACGTTACATTCTTGAACCTGAAAGATATACTAGCTTGAACATGGCAAATTCCGCAAAACCTTTTTGGTTTATGATGACAATGCAATCAGGATAAGTAATCCAAAGACAAGGGACAACAGCTTTCCATGATTAATTTTCACAGTGCCAGAGGTATTGTTGGTGGAATTGATCTCAGATGATTCTGAGGAATCTGGAGACATTGACTTCTCCTTATCTGACTTAGGCGCCTTTGCGGATGATTCTGGTGCCAAAGAGGGTGCCTTTGCAGGTGCCTTAGCAACAGTGAAAAAGTCCATAGGAAGAAGCACCTTCCCCACCTTGTAAATAGCAAGATGCTTATCTGTATATACGATGCCAGAGATGGTGGTGTTAACCTCACCCGTTGAGATATTCACACTCCCTCCATAACTTATCACATTCAGTTCCACCTTTCCAGGTTTAGCCCCTGCAAGTGTTCTCACAGGGTTGGTTAGAGTATCAAAGTTTGAGCTAGAGACATAATCTGAAAGAACGTGGAACTGTAAGAGCTCGAGCTTTTGTCCATCAGAAAGAGAGTTGAGGAAGCCTGCTTTGAGTTCAGAGAAGGCACTGTCATCTGGTGCAAGAATGGTGATGCCACCTGATTTAGTAGTGAGGAGCTGTGCATTGAGTTGGTTGATCAATTGGGTGGTTTTCATGAGGCGGATAAGGATGTTGAATGACTTGGCCTGCCTCAGGATTCCAACAATGTCAACAGCTGCAGTGTCAGGAGTGGCATCACTTGGTGACTGTGGCAGCGAGGGAACCAATGGTTGATTCGGAGCTTCAGCTGGTGGGGTAGGGGTAGGTTGGGGTGGTTTGAGCGGGGCAGAAGCTGGTGATAATTGGGCAAAAGTGGTGGTGGAATACAAAAATGAAAGTAGCAATCCTAGTGAAAAGGACAAGACAGTTTGTTTTTTCATCATGGTTTTAGTTGTGGGGAATGAAGGGTACAAAGCTAGACTGCAGAAAAAGAATGCAAGTGGTAGGATTTTTATTGGAATGAGCACTTGATACGTTGATGATATGGTGGAGATGGCTTTTATAGAGAGTATGGGAGTGAGAGACAATGATAGGTTGGTGGAAGGCTTTGTTTAAAAACCTAAAAATTGTGATTTGTGAGCATACACACAGTTGTAAGCTGGTACGGATATTGAGGTTTTGCATCATCGATATACTGATGTATTAAGCATTATGCATTTTAATGATTGTAAGGCCACACCAATCTGCCATAGAAATCAATAATAGTATTGTTTTTTGCTGAGACCATTTTAATCAAATAGTAAGATTATTTTCTTAGAGTAGATAGGGCGAAAGAAAGAGTGCTTGATCAAACAGTGCAACCAATAGAAATTACACGCAAATGAAAATTACAATGTGTCCTACAGATTGTGGAAATTACACTCCTAAACTCTACATTTATGCACAATAACATACTATTATTTCGGTTGCGAATCACACATGAAATAATCTATATTCTATACATAGAGGGTAGGACGATGATGATGAAGATTGAGGGTATACAGATATCAAAGCTATGCAACTGTTTTATTTGATCAAAAGTGTCATCCAGATTTTAGAGAAACTTTATCTCTATGTAACTGAATTAGATTTCATAGCGGTCTTGTTCTGATTGTGGTTTGTTACCAACCAAGAACTTGGTGAATACCGTTATCATCAATAATGATGATGAAAGTTTCCTGTACGAATCATTGACATTCCAGTATTTTGGTTTAAAATGGCCTAAAATTTTGTATCGAGACAAACAATTGCCTAAATTGTTGCCCCACGATTTCGCAAAGGAAATGGTGATTACGTGTACTACATATATGATGGATTTTATTTTTGGGAAACTTTTCATTCCAAGTTAATTAATCCAACTTCTCTTGTGAGAAATAGCCCTCCTATTGTTCAGGTGTAAGAGAACAATTTATTGAATAGTCAGTAGAAACCTTCGTTTCGTGTAAAAGATACCACTATCACACATAATTCATGAGACTTTCTTCTTCACAAAGTATAAATACACTGTTTTGTTTGACATTTTTACTAGTTTACTACCAGAGTGCCATTTTACATGACTAATGAGGAATCATCTTCAACAACGAGTGTCAGAGACTTGGAAGAGTGCAGAATGCTATTCAGCCAAGTTCAAGATAATAAATGGACGTGAAGCAACATGTCTATACACAAGAAGCTTCAACAGCTAAACTCTTTGCTACTCCTTTGCATGGATCTCCGAATGTATTAATTGATACTCCAATTCTACAACTACTTAATCCCATGCAGCCCTGTTAACAGATGCTACTTAGAGTAAGTATAATCCGAATGAAAAAATAAAGTAAAACTAGCTACACAAAAGACATATGAACTTCTTATTTAAAGAGGAAGCAGATCACCTTCCGCACAATGGATAGAGCCTGACTGCTACTGCAGCTTCCTTGTTTGAAGTTCCCACAAGTTCCATGAGGTGTTCCAAAACTTGCAAATTTAATGGAAGAGATCACCTGATCAGGATAAGGGCACTCCAGTAACAGTACAGGCCCTACTTTTCTTCCTGATTCTTCATCTAAATTCCATGAGTCTACAGGTGGAGGATGAGATTCAGATACATGTGAACACACACTTCCTATCTGTTTTGTAGCAAAAGTGATTTGCTTAGGGTTGCCTCCAACTTCCTCAAACAATACAAGTGTATTGCTTTCAGGTCGTAACCATGACCGTGGTACATGGTATCTGCAGGATTAGTTACTCAAATAAGTATATTTTCTTTAAACAATTAAGAGTTACTTTCATGTTTCAACTTCCCTCATGCAGAATAACTAGAACTTACAATGTCTGTGATGGTTTTCCACAGTTCTGGAGACATTTGGATGCTTGATAGGCCCCTCTATAATTGCATGAATCAGTACAACCACCCCTTGGAGAGGCATATGTAGGCCAGTATCGCCCAATGCTCTGTCCATTTACCCAAGCCTCACCTTTTCCCATCCCCGTGAAGTCAATTGCAACTGGATTGCTACCAGAGGGAGCAGCGAAGTTTGTCTAATACAACATGTACTACCATTAGTTAGCAGCAAAATCATTTGCCCTATAGTAGCATTGCCTTAATTGTCTATGAAGTGTGTGATTAAGAAGATATCACATGCAAACACAGTTGAGTAAACACGACCTTGGACAATCCGTAAACAAAGGGAAACAAATAGGTGATTTTGTCTGCTTATGCACTTAGAACAATAAGGAGATAATTAGTTTAAATAAATTATATTCTCTGATAAAGACTACCTTGTACCAAATCAACGGTTGGTTTGTAGGTAAGGTAGATTGTGAGTTCCACTGTCCAGAACTGCCACTAGATGGACCTAAATTTTCACCTTTTAGGCCAACCTGAAGTCACAAAATTATGGACAGTGGTTTCAATAGAAACCTCAAAATGAGAAAAAGAAAATTAACTGGCTTTAGTTAGTCAGAGAGCATAGATTAACCTGATATGTCCACATATGGGAGGACAGATCAAGAGAGCTGCCATTTTTCAAACCTTTCAATATCACAGGGCCAGTGATCCCTGCACCCCATGTGTCGAAAAAAGCTCCATAGTTCTGTGCCCATAAGGTTTCCATTTAGTTGATGTAGTGATGAGAACTGGTTTGGTGATAAAGTGAAATTGTATGGGGAGGGATTAGCAGGCCAAATATTACAAGAAAAGACGAACCTGAAGTCCCACGGTTAAACTCAGGAGATCAATTGTGTTCTTCCCGGACACTAGTGTGATGGGGATGTCTACTTTGACGTTAGCTTTCTCATGGTTTCCCGTTCTACTCCCTGAAAAATTTCTCCGTAGTGTCAGAGATTAGTGTCATTATTGATAAATAATCAAATATTCCATTTAAATAAAGAATTGAACATTTTAGAAAGAAAGAGCCTTGGACAACTGATCTTACTTTATTTCCAAAATGTTGTCATATATCTATTTAATTAATTTTACAATTGAGAGAGAGAGAGAGAGAGACAAGAAAAAGAGAGAAGAAAAATAAGTGTTGGATAACATGGGTGATAAGATGGGCATAGATAAAAACAAAAACGAAATTTTGAAGACTGTTATAAAATTGGTTTTGTGTATTTTACTCTGATTTTTGCTTATCAATATGCACAAAATCAAAAGTATGTCAATAGTTTCTCTTCTATACAATTTAATGATTAGAGGAGTTGTTGACATATTTTAAGGTGTTCCTGATAAAACTGGTGAGCACTAGGTTTTATGCTTAATTTGAGTGATTTCATCTACTCACATTTAAACTTTAAGTATGCAAACTTGTGTGGATGTTCTTGGATCTGCAACCAAGAATATTATGTTCTCAGGTTACTGATCTATCTCATCTGTGCCCAACCTAGACTCCATTATACATAGTGTTTGCCAACCTAGACATAGTCTACCTCATTTTCAAGCATTTTCTAATAAATTAGCTTTGACTTTAAGAAGGGTGGGTAGGGATAGATACACCATTCTTTCTTGGGCCTTAAAATACTACCAGGGAATTTAAACAAGAACTTATATAGGAATCCAAAATTAAAATATTTAACTCACAAGGAGAATTGCTTTATATTTTATATACCTGCAAGCTTCCCATTTATGAAAGCGTGAAGAGCATGACCAAGGGATTTAATGTGAAGGACAGTTTGAGCACCAGTATTAAGATTAATGCTGCAGAAAAAAATCGTGAAAAGCATTACTGTGAGGCAGAAATTGCCAGTCAGAAGAAAGCTTTCTCAACCTTGAAGGTATATTATATACCTTAATGAGTACCACAAGTAATCACTTCTATCAGCAGTTGTATTTATTTGCTCCAGTAACCCAAATTTTGAGAATGAATCAGCTTTTGAAATACCAATAGGTTCACTAATCCAACTCCATCCCGAGCCAGAGGCATCAACCTCTTTTAAAGATTCAGTTGTGAAACTTGAAATGCTTGATGCAGAATTAATCTGCATTATAAATAACTAAAATCTTATGCAGCTTCATGTACTAGAAAATGAAAAAGTAGATCTAAACTATAGGTAGATTAATCACATGCATTATGAAAGTAACTTCATCCAGTTGAAACATCTATTTTGATCGGAAAGCTGATAAGGCAAACCTTTGCCGTGTTAAGCACTACATTCTTGCAATCTGGTAAGATGCTCACAGACCAAGCCGGAAGGTGATATGAATTTCCATTGAAGGTCACTTTTGCGTCAGATGTGGCAATGTTGGCAAGGAAAGCAGCACATACAGCTCCTGTCTTGTAAACTGCAGCCTGGGTTTGAATAGTAAATGTTAAGAGATGTAACTAAACTATTCATGTCGCTGATGTGTCTAAGCCTTTGGGATAATTGATTTTAAATGTTATGGAGTTTGACATTCATGATCCATTACCCAACATTTAAGCTTACGGATGGTTCACTACATGGCATACATTATTTGTTGAGAAGAGACTAAATCTTCGTAATGCATACAAAACAGGTATTGACCCAAAAAGAAGGAAAGCATCAGTGATCAGACGGCAGTATTTTTCCAAATCAATAAAAAGCAACACGAAATTGGGAAGGAGGGCAGGAACTAGATAAAACTATAACATTGACAAAATCAGGTGGACCTCCAAATTTTTCAAGGCATTTTTCGAGTAGAAACTCAAAATTTTAGGTAAAAGTGAGACATTTAGGCTACTGAGATAATCCAGAAATTCTGGCCTAGATTTGAAAGGACCACTTATTACCTCTACTTTTGGTCCAAGAGATGTAATTGTTGGATCAGTTGCTGTCAACGCTTCTTCACAAAGTTTTATGGCCTTATGCAGGTCTCTAAGGTGGCCCCACTTAGGCTGTCTAACAATTCCTGCATCATGCAGTTCAGATAGTTTTAAAATAATGTACATAATTTTTTCAGTTTTGTCTTGTACAAGTACATATAAAATGAGGATGTGATGTCAAGTGTTACAAGTTTGTTTATTTTTCTTGTTGACGGCATGTGGAAGCAAGGTTGACTAGTTTATTTTGAATAATTCTACAGAGTCGTCAATATGAAATATGAAGACTGAAGAACTCCATACCATACTCATCAATTGGTGCATCATAATCATAACTACTGGCAACAAAAGGCCCACCAGAAGCCCTGCCAAAATTAGTCCCTCCATGGTACTGTTTTGCAAGAAACCAAAGAAAGTTGTAGCCTCAACTAATTTCATATCAAAGTTAAAGCCTTAAACACCATGTAAGGTTGCATTACCATATAGTAATTGTTAAAAGTTCCACCTCGTTGGAAAAAGCGTGCCACAGCAAATGCAAGATCTTCCACAGGTCTGTGAGGTACAGCATCACCAAATGAAAGAAACCTAAAAGTTTAATAGATTTCTTTAGGTCACAAGAAAAAACAGGATTAGAGTTGAATGTGTATGGAGAGACACTATCAGTCAGATCATATTTTGAGTATTACTTTCAAATAATTAATGATTTTTACTGAAAAGGACACTAACCATCCAGTATAACCCTCAGTCCATATTTTTGGTTTTGCATTAGTGTTTGGTTGGAATTGATCACAGTAAAATCCATTGCACGTGTTAATCTGAGAGTAGTCAATATAACAAATTGTGAAATTAACAATAATTTAGGAGAATTGTAGACAGCAGCATAGTAAGATTGCTAAATTCAGGAATCAAGAAAACAGACAACTGTATAAAACATAAACTAAATAACACTAGTAGAAAGTTAAAACATAAAGTGTTCAGGATAATTGTAGATGACTAAAAGGAGAAAACCTACAATTGGGTCAGGAGCATCTGTCTGTTGGCACATTACCCAAGGAACCCCTGTGTCAAGAGATGTTGCCATTGATGCTGCCCATTTGATGTAGGATTTAGCAGCTGGACCATAGGCTGCATCAATGTTCCCATACTCATTTTCAATCTGTTATAGAATTTTCATATTCAAAAAGCAGGCAGTAGGCTATTAGGAATTCAGGACTCTGTGTATGTATGAAGCTTCGACATCTCGATGTTTCATGAGGAAAAATTGCAATGTGCTTGGTAAATTTTAGGAAAAACCTGAGACAAAATAATAGGTCCTCCCTGTGACGCATAGAAGTTCTCTTGTTTCATCATATCCACAATCTTAGCGGTGAATCGCTTCATTTCTTTCTGAAGACAATTCAATGTCACATGGTAGCAGGAAGTAGATCTAGCAAGATGAGACAAGGAGAAAGGAATGGAAAAACTACCTCAAATGGTTTGTTATCTGTTCGGAACTCAATTCCCGGAATAAAATGTAGCCAAAGAGGGAAACCACTGCTCAGAATAGTCAAAGACCATGATCAGATATAAACATCCTTGTAAAAAAATTCATAAAAAGATCAAAACTTACCCGTAGTTCCATTCAGCACATGCGTATGGACCAATCCGGAGATGCACATATAAACCTGCTGCTGCTACTGTCTTCACAAATTTAACCAAATCTCCCCTACCTTCAAAATTATACTGCCATGCCAAAGCACATAATCCATCATTGATTTTATCACAAATTTAAGCCTTCTGACTGACACTAAGATACTCCTCCAAAATTCATTCTTTTAAGATTTAACTACACTGTTCGTATTAACTCAGAAAAATAAGTGTACCAATGATCATTTACTTTCCTAAGCTGCATACTTTTACATTTGAATTTTTAACTCTTAACCCTCTTATATGTTTTTAACGTGTTTGATTGATGAGAACACACACACACACATACACAAAAAGCAATGCAATTCAAAAGACAATGCAGTCCAACACAATACAAAAGTGGTAATTAACAGAACTACACAGAACAGAAGAGAACCTGGCCTCGAACTGGTTCGTGTAAATTCCAGAAAACGTAAGTCTCGATCACATCAAGTCCTCCATCTTTGGATTTCTGAATTATGTCTGGCCACATCTGCAACAACAAACACCACCCCTTTTAACTCCAAACCTCAAAGACAAAGGTGAAGGAGTGTACATTAAACACACATAGAAAAAAGGTAGTAAACAGAACCTCTGGAGTGCTACGCGGGTAATGAATAGAACCAGAGACCAAGACTCGGCGCTTGCCATCAATGACCAATGCCCTATGGTCGTACGTGACATTTGTGGAAAATGAAGAAGGAGCATAAACACAGAAGAACCAAAGCAAAAGGAACAGTGTCTGTGATGCTCTCATTGTCTTTTGGGATTGTTAGTGCAAAAAGAACAAACAGAAGCAACAAGGGAATGAGTCCCTCTTTGCGTTTTGCTTCTTGTACTTAAAGACACGAGCGAGAATTCCGAAGACACATAAAGCAAAACAAGTGCTGAAACTGGCTGAAGGACCGACACAGATACTTCTCTTTCCATTGTTATTTATAACACTTTTCCAGAAAGAGTAGTGATACTCAAACTCAATAGTCTCTTTTTCTTCTATTTATTTTCTCATGTCACCAATCACTTCTTTTTTATTTTCTTTTTCTTCAACTGTGAATGGACACTATAGATATTCTTCAAACATTATCTTTCTGTAAATTTTCTGTCTTTTAAAAAGTTCTTTTTTTTAACTGACTCATACTTTGTTACATTAACTATTCACTTGTAAAATATTTTAATTTTCTAATTTTCTGTATGATTCTTTAATAAAACAAATTTCTCTGTTATTTCCTTTCTGAACTGATCTCAACGCAATCAATTTTCTTAAAAGATAAAATTAATTGAAAAAGTCTTGCAAATAATGTGGGAAGAAAGAATACTAAAAAGGGAATAAAACCAGCTTTCTTAAGACAGACAGAAAAAACAAGTTCAGCCAGAATCAATGTTTGGCTAGTTAGGTTGATGAATCAGTTTCTTGTGTCGTTTTTTGCACATCATGTTACTGCTTGGCCTCATGGTAGAAAGATACTACATTATCTATGGAAAATGATAAACATGGGAAGCAAGAGTATTCATTGTAGGCACTGAGAAGGGTACGGCACGCATGCAAATATATTCAATGTCATCTTCATCTTCTGCTGCTTTTGGTTTTACCATGGCCTCACTTCTGTTTGGATTAAACCTTTTTTTTGTCGTAGATGAAGTTCAATGAGTAAATATTATTGTAATTAAGATGTGTATTAATTAGTTAATATTTTTTTTGGTTAAAAAGGGTATCTTTTATTTTGAATTGTAAACAAAAAAAACACCAAAAAAAAACAGAGAAGAATAAAGCATGTTTTGGAGCATAGCGTGTTTTGATGTAGCCTCAACCCCGGCAATGATGACGCGTGCAGCAAATAGTGGAGCATAGCGTGCTTTTATTCATTAAAGTTTCAATTTCTGTATTAATTACCTCAAATAAATAAAAACATTAAAAATATCAAGCAAAGTTCTTCGTTAAATTTTATATATAATATAAAGTAGATAATCTCTTCCACCCTATTCTAAAATTTATTTTCTTGAAAGTAAATTGAGCCAAACATTAAAAAAATTCTTTAGTAATTAACAGAAAAGTAAAAAATTTAAAAGATTGATTATTGGAATTCAACCTGTTATTCGTTTACATCATGACAATACTATTTTTCCACCTTCTTAAATTGCACAAGAAGATTTATATTTTTTCTTCAAAATACATGAACTTAACAAAAATATTGAAACCATCTCGGTCCAAATATGAATAAAATAAAACATAATGAACACAAATTCAATTAAGAAAGACACAACAATCTCAGATATGTATCTTGTAATCCACACCACTATAGTACTCACTCATATATATGGCTTGGAGGTTTGTAAATTCATCAAATCCAATTTTTGTTTACGATGACAATGTAAGCACAATAAGTACTCCAAGAAAAAGGGACACCCACTTTCCTTGCACATTGATTTTCACAGTGCCAGAGTTCTCGGTTGTGGAATTAATCTCAGATGATTCGGAGGAATCTGGAGACAGTGGCTTTTCCTTATCCGCTTTAGGAGCCTTTGCTGAAGGTTCTGGGGCCAAAGAGGGTCCCTTTGCTGGTGCCTTGGCCACTGTAAAGAAGTCCATGGGAAGAAGCACCTTCCCCACCTTGTAAATAGCAAGATGTTTATCCGTATATACAATGCCAGCTATGGTGGTGTTAACCTCACCTGTTGAGATGTTCACAGTCCCTCCGTAACTTATCACATTCAATTCAACCTTTCCAGGTTTCGCCCCTGCAAGGGTTCTCACAGGGTTGGTGAGAGTATCAAAGTTGGAGCTGGACACATAGTCTGAAAGAACATGGAACTGTAACAGCTCGAGCTTTTGTCCATCAGAAAGAGAGTTGAGGAAGCCTGCTTTGAGTTCAGAAAAGGCACTGTCATCAGGTGCAAGAATGGTGATGCCACCTGATTTAGTTGTGAGAAGCTGTGCATTGAGTTGGTTGATCAATTGGGTGGTTTTCATGAGTCGGATAAGGATGTTGAATGATTTTGCCTGCCTCAGGATTCCAACAATGTCAACAGCTGCAGTGTCAGGAGTGGCATCACTTGGTGACTGTGGCAATGAGGGAACCAATGGTTGTTTAGGAGCTTCAGCTGGTGGGGTAGGAGTAGGTTGGGGTGGTTTTAGAGGGGCAGAAGTTGGCGATAGTTGGGCTAAGGTGGTGGTGGAATAAAAAAATGAAACTAGCAGAGCTAATGAGAAGGAAAAACCAAATTGCTTTTTCATCATCTTGGTGTTGTTAGAAGATAATGGTTTAGATAATATTGGAAAGATTTGAAAATGGTAGTAGATTCATTGATGATATGGTGGAGGAGATGGTGTTTATATACAGAAAGTCTGGGAGTGGAAGACAATGAAAGGTAGGTGAGAGATTTTGGTGGAGAATCTTGAAATGTGATTTGTGATCATACAATGAGTTAGTAGCTGGCAAAGGAGATTGAGGTGTTGCATCAGCGAAGATGTATGGATGTAAGTTACAAACTAAACTGCTAAAAGGTTACTTCATCAGATGCTTAACCTGCTAAATTTTTATTTTTCTTTTCTTAGTCATGAGATGGAAAGATTAGCATTGTTCTCCTTACCTAATGTACACTAGTACAAAAAACACTTTTAACATCGGACTTTTTACATCGGTTGTTAAAGAACCGATGTAGAAAGTCTTTTAAAGTCTTTCCACATCGGTTCAGATGGGAACCGATGTAGAAAGAACTTTCTACATCGGTTCAGATGGGAACCGATGTGGAAAGTGCTTTCTACTCTGATTTGAATTGAAACCTGTGGTTATATATGATAGCGGTTAAATCTAAACCACTATTATAATAGCACTTATAATAGCGGTTAAGTCTTAACCGCTATTATATAGCACGTCTAATAGCGGTTAAATCCTAATCGCTATTATATATATTCAAATATGATCGATCATTTGAAAATGTAATCGATCATCACCAAAAAATGTGGATGTCGCTCGAGCGAGACAGTGTCGCTCACGCGAAAAACCACCCGAGAAGGCCAATTTTGTGCAGGTGGCGTCGCTCGAGCGAGACCAGTGTCGCTCAAGCGAAATACAACCCGAGAATGCCAATTTTGTGCAGGTTTGGTGAATGTCGCTCGAGCGAGACAGTGTCGCTCACGCGAAAAACCACCCGAGAAGGCCAATTTTGTGCAGGTGGTGTCGCTCGAGCGAGACCAGTGTCGCTCAAGCGAAATACAACCCGAGAATGCCAATTTTGTGCAGGTCTCGTCGCTCGAGCGATATTATTGTCGCTTGAGCGAATATTGACCTGCGTAAACACCATTCTATTGCACTTTCTACATCGGTTCCCCCATGAACCGATGTGGAAAGTGCTATCTAAAAAAATTCTGATCGGTCATAATCTTATTCTGATCGATCATCCAGTTCTGATCGGTCATAAAGTCATTCTGATCGGTCATCTGATATACCATTTTACTTTCTACATCGGTTCCCCTATGAACCGATGTGGAAAGTCTTAAAAAATTTACACTTCCCGCCATAGACTCCACTTTTGTCCTTACAGACTCGACTCCCAGACCCAATTACAGACTCGACTCCCATTACCAAATTCATTCTCGCAGTAGCGAAAACCACCTTCGTTTCCCCAATCTCCCATCTCCTTCCCCCAATCGAATCCCTAACCTTTGTTTCCCCAATCGAATCCACAAGCGAAAACCACCCTTGTCGTGCACCAAGAACCGCGACGCGCACCAGGAACTGCGACGCGCACCAAGAACTGCGACGCGCCACCCTCGTCTTCACCTCTCTGATTCGGACCAGGTCCGTGGTTCTTTTCTATTGGTTTCTCATCCTTGTTTTGTCAATTATCTTTATGCATTTTCGTTGATTCTGGATTGTTTTGTTTGGTCGTGGACTGATTCTGCCTGGGTTTAATGTATGTAGACATGTTTATTCTGGGTTTTGTATTATTATTTCCGTTTAGTGTGACTTGAATATGTGATTTTCACTTGGTTATTCTTGTGGGGTTGAGATTGGTGTTATCCAAGCCCTGTTGGGTTGGTTGATGTCGCTCTGGTCCGAGACTCTTAGCGGAAGAGTTAAGGCTATGGGTTTCCACGCTGGGGTGTAGGGCTTTGGGGTATTGATTATATTTGGTTCTCTTGTTTTTCATTTGGGTTTGTTTCTTATGTTGGGGTATAGATATGGATCGGAGTTGGATAAATGCCAAACGTATAGAAGAAGAATATGAATTAGGGGTTGAAGAGTTCTTAGAGTTTGCACAGAGAAATGTGGGTAACAATAGAGATCTCTTTTATTGTCCTTGTGTGAAGTGCTTAAATTTAAGACAACTAAGTGTGAAGGATATAAGAGAGCATCTCCTTTGTGATGGATTTTGCAAGAGTTACACTAAGTGGATTTGGCATGGGGAAGTAGTAGATTTCCCAATGGCTTCAGAGACAACTGAAATCCAGAAAGAAACCAATGATCGACTAGAGGATTTGATACGTGATATTGGTGAAGAGCCATTTGAAAAAGGATATGTATTCGAAGAACTATGCGAAGATAGTAAGAAGCCTCTGTATATAGGATGTTCTAAGTTCACACGGTTGTCGCTAGTGTTAAAATTATTTAACTTAAAGGCAAAAAATGGGTGGACGGATAAAAGTTTTACAGAGTTGCTACAATTATTAATGGAAATGCTTCCAGAAGGGAATACACTTCCAAGTCGTACTTATGAAGCAAAGAAAGTAATCTGTCCGATGGGTATGGAGTATAAGAAGATACATGCATGCCGTAATGATTGCATCCTGCATGGGAAGGAGTTTGGAAGTTTGCATAATTGTCCTGTTTGTGGTACATCACGGTTTAAAGTGAAGGATGGAGAAGATAATTGTGATAAGACAATTTCATCAGGAACCCCTGTCAAAGTAGTGTGGTATCTTCCAATAATTCCAAGGTTTAAGCGGCTATTTGCTAATGCCAAAGATGCAAAGAGCTTAACGTGGCATGTAGATGAAAGACACCGTGATGGGAAGATACGACATCCAATTGATTCTCTCGCAATGGAAAAAAATTGATGACATATTTCCGGAATTTGGTCAAGAGGGGAGAAACCTTAGACTAGCACTTGCTACGGATGGGATGAATCCTTATGGCAATTTAAGTAGTATACATAGTTCATGGCCTGTTTTGTTAGTAATTTACAACTTGTCTCCTCGATTGTGCATGAAACGCAAGTTTGTAATGTTGTCGATGATGATTTCTGGCCCCAAACAACCAGGAAATGACATTGATGTTTATTTACGGCCTTTGATTGAAGACTTAAAACTTCTTTGGGAAGAGGGTGTTGAGGTATTTGATGCATATCGTAATGAATACTTTAAATTGCAAGCTTTGCTTTTTTGTACGATAAATGACTTCCCTGCTTATGGAAATCTAAGTGGATACAGTGTCAAAGGACATAATGCATGCCCTATTTGTATGGAAGAAACGTGTTATCATCAACTGAAACATGGGAAGAAGACAGTGTACCTAGGACATAGAAGATTTCTACCAGTTATTCATCCATATCGGAGGTTGAAGAAGGCTTATAATGGCTTTCAAGAGAGTCAAATCGCTCCTATATATGTTAACAATCATCACAGCAAATATCACAGATTCATGGAATTTTGTATGTGTTATGACTATATCTATGTCATTGACATATATTTGCCTACTTCTGCTTATCTGAAATGTTTTTTTTTTGTTTGTAGATATTCGATGATGGTCATCCAATAAGTGAATCAGAGATTGATGACATTAGACGAATTTGGGCAGATTTTGTTATTAAGAACTATAGTAGTGATTGAATTTAATTGTGAAACATTAGGACTGCTAGTTTCTTTGTATATATAAACTTAGAATACAATACATGTTTATTGTTTGTTGATACAATACAATGTAGATATATAATATACATTATGTTTACTTGTGTGTTAATACATGTCCTCTATATATAGATTAACATTCTGAGTAGCTGTAAATATTTAAAATGCTGTACAAGTTCTGAAAAATAAAAACTAAAATTCGTATTTAAAAAAAAATATGACTTTCCACATCGGTTATGACCATAACCGATGTAGAAAGTGATTTTTAATACTTTCCACATCGGTTCTAGGCCACAACCGATGTAGAAAGTCTGACTTTCCACATCGGTTCTAGGTCACAACCGATGTGGAAAGTCAGACTTTCTACATCGGTTGTGGCCTAAAACCGATGTGGAAAGTCAGACTTTCTACATCGGTTCTTAACCGATGTTAAAAATCACCAACTTTCTACATCGGTTGTATCTACATCGGTTTTAGAACCGATGTAGAAAGCTGCTAAGAACCGATGTTAAAGGTGTTTTCTGTACTAGTGGTAATAGGCTCGCCATGCCACCAGTAGCTTCCGAGCATAATCAAATAGTTTCTAGACTGTGGTTTTCCAATACTTAAATTAGTGGATGAATACGTGAAATATGAGATAGTAAAACAACGAATATATAGAATGAAATGAATATCAAATAGGGTAACACGAGTATAACTACTAGAAAATCACGATATATTTATCTCTATTTTAGTAGTCATATACTAGAAGAATTCTAAAACTCAGTCTCTATTATCTGGGAGAAATATCGAGAATCTCAGTCCAAATCTCTAAATACCAAATAGCCGAAATTATGATGAATTATCTGAGGTATTCTGTGTTTTTATGGTTATGTACATTTATGTCTAAACTCTTCTTACCAAGAACATTTATTCATGATTGGGTAATTGAGCTCTATGATTATGGCGGCAACTTTGAAATTTATTGATAATAGTACAACTTTGAAAAAAAATATCCAAAATAATGTTAGTTGTTACTAGAAAATGTGAATTAATTTTGTGATTATTATTATACAAGTACACAATAAATATAACTTACATATTTTTTAATATATTACATTACTCATATTTTTTATGTATGATTTAGGTATTTAATAAAGATTAGAATAAGAGTTTACTTAAGTCATTGTTTAACATTCTTTCTTTAAAATGGACAACACTTTTTTAAACAAACATCTAATAAAGATACAAGATTACCACGTGCTAATAACAATAATAATAAAGCAAATGACATGATAAAATTATACATTAATAAAAGTAAACCTTGTAAAATCGTGTCATATCAACAAAACAAAGTTATTTATAAAGATTATCCCTATTAGTAAAACTTTTTTAATATTTTTTTGTTCATCAGACTTTAAATGTATTTAGGTATTATAGATTAATATGAACAATTAAATAAGAAATAATAATAATAAATATGATAAAAAAAAAACTCAAATGTTATGGAAGTACACGAGGAGCATTGAATTATAAAATATTTTACTCTTATTAAACAAAACAAATTAGCTTTTATAGATTTACTCATGCAGTTATAAAATATATAAAACGATAAAGTATAAGCACATTCACCATTAATTATTAGAATACCTTCTAAATTTAACTAAGAAGCAATAGAAAATACAATTGACTTTCTCACTTCATAATACATTCGCTGAAAGTCGTCAAGGAAATGGCAGTATTACAAAATTGATTGCTCAATGAATAACAATACAAGATCACCTGACACTCCTAAATAATGATAGCCTCTAATTGCTACTTGCAGTTCAATGAGGTGAACTCGGTTGAGGAACACTGGCTGGTTTGAGAGTAATCTCCACTGGAAAAGAACTACAACTGCATGACTTAAATAATGGAGACACTATGGAAGCAATGAAGATAAGATGCAACGATTGTAAAAACCTATAAGGCCATACACATCACAATGCAATGGCTGATCATCTCCTTGGTTTTGATAGTTTCTTCTGTTTCTTATATTGTTCATATAGATGTAGAGATAGCGCAGTCCTGTCCAGCTCCTTTCTCAGCCTTTCATTGTCCTCTGCAACTCATTGTCATCAAATGAACTCGTAACTGTTGTGGAAGCTATGGAAGGTGAAGTATCAGGGACATGTGTTCGTCTCCTCTTGTTATTTAATTTTGACACTGCCAATTTGTTGTGTGAAACATAATTCCTGGTGGAGAGACATTTCCTTAAAAGCTAGCTTAGGAGAGGACTTGGATAAAAGGACCTGGTTATGTACAGTACTCATACTTGAAATGCCCGAGGCCAGTGTTGATATAGCTGGATGATAATGGCTTGACAAAAGATTGAGTTCCAAAAGTACTGATGCAAGGGCACCACTTAAATTGGGGTCTGTGGAATATGGTAGATATTTCTGCATACCAAAGAGGAGGCAGTCCATAAAAAGTGGTTCACACTATAATATTTTGCAATGAACTGACTTAGAAATTCATCTTCACCCACTCTTACTATTAAAAAGAATGTTTATATAAAGGAATAGTTTCAGGCAGATGCAGGCTTATAGTTATGCCCTGATGACCTCATTTCATTTCATTATGCCCTGATGAATATTTAAATTCTTCAAACAATTTATTTTTTTTATAAATGAAGCAAAGATTCTGCATTTAATGCAAACAAATAATATATGAAAGACGCTTACAGGAATTGTGGCCGAAACCGAGCCCCCTCCAATGTCATTTTCCAATAAGTTTCTGCACTTAACATTTTTCTGAAGGAGATGCTTTACTGTGTGACCAAGGCTGAAATGGGTTCAGATGAAAAACAAAATTTAAGTATGTTTCTCTTTTCATTTTGATTTATATTTCTTGTTTTATTAACAAAGGTAGTAGCGCATACGAAATTCAAGGTTGATATAAGAATGTTAAAACATACCAGTCATGGAATCTGCTGATCCAACACAAAACTGAAATTGTTGCTAATCTTTTTATAAATGCAGCAGCCTTTTGCATGTCATGGTGTGTATTATTTCCTCTTAGAGCATCATACATGGAAACAACTCATGAGTTGTTTCATACATTAGAATTTTCATTTGTGATCACATCACTGAAATTTGCTCCAATGGAAGAAACCATGATAAACTCCAAGCAACTCAAATTGAATTATGTAATTTGTGGTTTCTATGGTTGTTGTTTTAAAAGTAACAATTTTTTATCCTTAAGAAACCAATCTTAACGTGAAGGAATCAAGTGTGTCAGATAGATCGACTTCAATGGAAGATCATTTTAAGGAACAGTTTCTTCGACTTTAGGAATCAGAAATAGTTAAAATGCTCTAAGTATAAACATCAACAAAGGTGGGGTTGGTTCCTTGTAAGTATTATCATAATTTATTTACACATTTTCTTTTTCAGCTAACTTTTGGGTTAGATATCATTTTAAAGTTGACATGTAAGCCCATTGCATATTTTATCCCGCTAATGGCTCTAACGTAAAGACCGACTAACTACAATATTGATTTTATGTTATATTTTGTTATTTCTGATTGTTTGTGACTATGTCTGTAACGTATGCAATTGTTTGTGTATCAATGTCTTGCTTTGAACTTAACTCTATCCTCTAATTTAGGGTCCTCAACCAGAAGCAGGCTCAGGGGGTCAGTAATTGATGCCAAACCAAATGGCTCAGGACACTGGATCATCAGCTGACAGAGTTTCAACTGACAAACACCGGAATTATGCAGTTGTAGCTAACACCATAACAATTCTTGGGGCTTTAGGGTGGTACCTTAAAATCACTGCAAAGAAAGCCAAAAGTGCAGGATTGAACATTTCTGCGTTCTCATTTTGATATTGGTTGCAGCAGTTGCACAAAAATAAATGACCACACTACTAACTATGTTTTCATTCTATCGTACTATTATCATGAATTACTACTTTATTGTTTCATGTTTTACATGTCAGCTATATATTCTCATGCTACTTAGCATGATGAGCTTCACTTTCTTTCTTTCTTTTTTCACTAAACAATGGTCGATCAACGTCATGTGATGATCACTTGCATTTGCCATTGGTTATCAGCAGGGTGAGATGGTGATGTAAAAGGGTGTAGGTTGTGTGTTGTCGGGACTGACATTAGTGTGTAAGGAAAATGATACTTTTACAACTGAAATACATATAAACTTCTATAAACAATTATATTTTAATATTATAATAATAGTTTTATTTTATTTTTATTTTTATTAAATCATTTTATAAATTATTATATTAATAAAAATGAGTTATTTAAAGGGTTGTATGATTTCTGGTTGTCAAAATATCACCACTCTAGTGTGTAATGTCAAGAATGAAGTATATGAAAATGATACCTTCACAACCATAACCATACGTCCATTTGACAACTCAGGGGTCAAATTCTCAATTTTAAAAATGAGGGTTTGATTTGTAATTTATAAGAGTGAAAATTACAATATTATTAAAATGGAAAATGAGGGTATGATTTTTGGTTATCAAATTATTACCGTTCTATTAAAATTGATTTTTAAAAGGGCCACATATATTTTTAGGATTTAAGAAAACAAAAGTCACTCTCTCCCAAGTCACTCTCTGGCTTGAATTTCTCGTGTCAATGTCTTCAAATTGAGATCTACCCTCTTCGAAATGAGCAACACGATCCCTCACGGTGAGTCTTCCATTAAGGGTCATCGTCTTCAATTTCAGTAAATCAACTCTTCACTTTCATCCCGCCGTCTTCAATTTGATGAAGAGTCCCGATATTTTGGGAAAGGTACTCTGTTGTTTTTATTGTATGTACTCTATTGTTAACGAAAGTGTGGTTTAAGACAGTTGTTACTTGAGTTGTGATACAATATTAAATGATGTCCATCAGGGTGTTTGATGAAATGGCACAATGAAAAAGTGATGGTTATTGTACAGGAAGAACTTTAAAAATTTCGACAAATATGTATGCAGATGGGTACTGCATGCTCAAAATCTTCATCGATAATTGAAAGTTATTGAATCAGGAGTTAACATCCTCGTTATTGAATCAGGAGTTAACATCCTCGTCTAGGTATAGAAATGTAAATATTGTATTTGATGACTTGTTCATCTTTAATATTGAATTTTGTACAGTTTATTAGTATGTAATATAATAGTTAACTTGATTATGTATTATTTAAATATTAATTATTATGACATTAATAAGTGGATAATTTATGACATTAATAAGTGGATAATTTGGACAATTTATTGAATTTGGACCATGTAACTATTTTTTATATCATTTGTGTTTATGTTGACAATTACATTATTATTGGGTTTTACCCTTCCAATTCCATAATAAAAGAAACATCTATTTGAATGACATGCATATGACATTAAAATGTAATAGGAAGGTAACCCTTTAAGTACAAAGTAGTCATCGTTTATCCCAGTCCTCATATTTATGTATTCAACCTCATTAATTTTATTTTAAAAAATGCATGTTGAACTTAGTTGGGACAAAAAATTAATCACCGTTTGTAGCTTGAGCGATATTCGAAATAGTTTTTTTACTACTTTCGGATGTTTTTTCGCTCGAGGGAATAATGCCTTGCACAGGCGATGTTGGCCTACATCAATTAAGTGTTGTCATTGATTCGTCGCCCAAGCTGAAAAATATCGCTTGAGCTAGATTCAAAATAGTTTATGACTGCTCCCAGATGCGTTTTCACTCGAGCGAATAATGTCTCTCGCAGGCGAGGTTGGCCTACATCAACTGTGTCGTCGGTCATTCTTCGCTCAAGCTAAAAAATGTCACTCGAGTGACATTCAAAATTGTTTATGACTGCCCTCAGGTGCGTTTTCACTCGAGTGAATATTTCCTCGAGCAGGCTAGGTTGGCCTACATCAATCATGTTTTGTGGGTCATTCGTCGCTCAAGCTAGACTATATCGCTCGAGCGAAATATTTTATGATTGCTTCCGGGTGTGTTTTCGCTCGAGCGAATAATGCCTCACGTAGGCGACATTGGACCACAAAAGCTTATATGCACTTGGTCGCATTTCGGTCCAGTGAGAAAATGTGTGGCTCGAGCGAGTAGCGATAGAGTGTAAAATCGTTGTCATGTGTGATTTCGTTTTAGCGAAGCATCCGTCGCTCAACCGAACAAGGGAAGATGTGAGAGAATGCTCACGGTTGCTTTTTGGCTTAAGTGAGTGGACAGTCGCTCAAGTAAAAGTTACGTGTAAATAAAAAGGGAATGCCGTCAATTTGGCCCATACTCACCCCTTTTACTTGTGAGGGATCGTAGCACCCACATCTTCACCTTCTTCTCACCATCATTCTCGTCCATTATCATTATCTATCGAAAATCTTGTTCCTCACCTGCATTTTGACGGTTGAAGTAAGCGTATTCTTCTCATCCTCTTCCTTGTACTATATTGTGCATGCAAAATTGTTGGTTGTTCATCTTAGTCCACGCTTTTCATTTGTTTTTTTTATGAATACTTGGTTTGTTGTCTGTTTAATATGTAAATGGTTTGTTATGAAAGTGTTGTTACATTTGTTGGGATACAATATTAAATGGTGGTCACCAACTATTTGATGAAATACCACAATGAATAAGGTTCAATTTTTGCTACGTATAATAGGCACTTTTGTGGCTAAATTTTAGGTTAAGCTTTGGAATTGGTTATTTTTTACATGATGAACTATTTTTACTAAGGCACTTTCTTGGTTGAATTTTCAGCTTTAGGTTTGGAATTGCTTATTTTTTGCAAATGACAGGAAGAACTATTTTTGCAAAGGTTGTTACCATATAATGTGCACAATTAATTTTGCTTGTTTTGTAGATGAGACCAAGAAAGGACAAATACACTGAACGATTTAGAACGGGTGAATCATCTGTAGCATTTAACATAAACCTCTTCAGAGATAAGCATACCCAGCAAAGGTATGAGATGATGCAAGCTTGGAAGTTCAACTCTGAACGACAAGTCGAACTCAAAGAAGACAAATACACTGAATTCAATGATGAAATTACACAAAGAAATTATAGGAAGCTTGCAAAATCATGATCAAAGTTCGATGTTGATGAATTTTATGTCAATGTTTGGCCTTCTGAAGAAGGATGTCACAAAAAAAAGTCCAAGGTTAGGGACACAATAAATGAATTTATTGGGAGCCTCGTGCAATTGCAAGAAGGTGAATTATGCACGTATGAAAGGATCTGAGAGTCAAGGGCTTAACATAAAGAAAATTCAACAATGATAAAGTAGCTCGACTTTTGTATATCTCATAGAGGACCTACGAAATAAATCATGCAGGCAAACCACTGAGAATCCTACAAGGAAATATGAGAACAATCACACAAATATAAATTTCTTTTTTATTAGTCAATATTGTACCCCTCAGACACAATTTTTTATTAGTCAACGTTGTACCCCTCAGACGCAACTCTAATCTTAGTATGGCAAGATCTCACATGGCTTTCTACCTTTTAAATGGATAATGTATAACTTTATAATTTTAAAGTAACGGCTTAAATACAAAAATTTAGAAATTTTAATTAGATATAATAAACTATGATTAAGCTGAAAAGTAGCTATCATGGTCTCATCTTTGCTGTGGCTAAGGCACCTGCAAAAGCACCCTCTTTGCCTCAGAATCATCTGCAAAAGCTCCCAAAGCGGATAAGGAGAAGTCACTTTCTCCAGATTCCTCAGATTCATCTGAGATTAATTCCACAAATGAAAAACTCTGGCACTGTGAACATCCTTGTCTATGGAAGTAGGTATCCCTTGTTCTTGGACTAGTTCTTGTGACTGCATTGTCTTCTTAGACAAGAACTGGATATGATGATTTCCCAAAATCCAAGGCTTACTTATTGCAATAAAAATATAATCCACTAATCCAGTTTAGATCACCAAATTATGAAGCCTTGTCATTTTCTTTGTTTGAAAGTTTACAAGGGAACAGTATTTGTAATTATTACAAAAATTTATCAATGTAATTGCACCAAACGTTGGAAAGAGAACCAAGTAAATTTGAAATAAACCCTACACGAATTATTTTCACTTGCAACCTCCATTAAATCCTGAAGCTATCTTTAAAGTCTTTGTTACCCTTTTAGCCATTTTATCATAAGCAACTAATATCATAATACAAAACTATACATGTTTTCTTAATATCAAACATTTTAAATTTGTTTGAATAATATTAACATGACTATTCTTTTATTTATTTTCTTATTCTATTAATTAATGTATATTTTTGAAATATTAAAATATTTAATTATTTAAACATTAAATAATATACTTTATTTTTTTAAATTATGACAAACCTCAAAATAAATACTTTAAAATTAAAAATTTTAAAAATATATAATTTTAAAACCCATGACTCGGATCAACTCAATTCAATTTGATTTAGGTTATTTAGGTTGAATTGAATCTAATACAAAAATACAAAAATCTTACTTAATTGAGATTTTTAATTAGATCGTGTGAAGAATTTTTCAAATTCAATATAACCCATTTTAATCTTAAAAATATTATCAATATTAGCCGAAACACATGTGTTCATGTGCCTATGTTCGTATTTTTTATTATGTTTTTTATTTTAATAAATTAAAATTTAATGTATGTGTTAATTTTAAAATATAAATATTTATCCCTCATGTATTGTTAGAGACAAACAAGTGCGTGGAAATAGAAATTGAGGAAAAGGATAGATTTTTATTTATTAATTTATATTTGAAAGAAATTAAATGAACACGTGATTTAAAGAGTAAAAAGAAAGATAATTTTTAAATAATTTTATTTTAGGAAGAGAGAATGATGAAAGGAGAGAGAATATACAAGATATAAATATTTTATTAATATAAAATAAATATGAAATAAATAATTATTAAATGATGATAGAAAAATCAATTAAAAAAATCATTTATATGATGGTCAATAAAAAGACAGACACGTGTTCACATTTTTATTATACTTTTTATTTTAACAATTAATGATTTATTTATTTTAATTATTTCATTTATATTCAAAAAAATAAATTAAAGAAATTGTGTTATTGAAAGAGGGGAAAAAAGAGAATAACTTTTTCTTGTTCATCTTAATTAGTTTATTTATATTCAAGAGAAATTGAATACAACCTGTTATTGAAAGAATAAGCGAGAGCATATAAAATAAATAATTTATATAATGATTATATAAATGTAGATATTAATTATTTATGACTTTTAAAATTCTCTTGTCAATTATTCATTAGTATAAAACAAAAATACTTTATAAGAAGGAGAATTATTATAATCCTTTTCTTGTTTACCTAATTAATTAAAGTAAAACATATAATAGTACTGTTATATATTTTCTTCCTATCTATCTTAATCTAAAAAAAGAGATATAAATAATTCATTTTATTAAATTTTAGTATCTATTAATTCTTTATAAAAAATTATTAATTAATTATTTTTCTCAAATTTATAAATAATATATTTTAAAAAAATTGCTCAATTAAAATATTTATTTATTTATTTATTCTTTACTCAAATAGATCAGTTTATTATTCATATCCAACTTTTCTTTTCTTTTTTTATAATTTTTTTCTTTTATCATTTACCCTTTATTTCTCTTTTGTAGCAAGTCTGATATTTTTCTCTCTTCTCTTCTATTTATTCTTCTAATTAAAACTATTATATTAAAATTTAATAATATTATGTTAATATAATTTTTTTAAAATCAATATTGAAACTAAAATAATATCAACTAATTATTTAAAATTATATTGTTATTAAATAATTTTATTTATTATGACACTAAATAATTAATTTTAAATTATTTTATTGTAATAAATCAATTACTTAACTAATTAAAAAATATTAAATATTTATGAATTAAATATATTTTTTATTTAAAAATTTAATCTAGTTGAGATACGATGATTAGTTATATGTAATTTTAAAAAATATTTATTAAAAAGTTACTTTTAAAAAAATATTTAATTTTTTTAATATTGAAAAGATAATAATTTGAAATACCTCAAATTTATATTTTTCTTTAAAATATAATATTATAAATTATAATATTTTTAATTTAATTTAAATATGGTATTTTTATAAAATATTATCATTGATAAAGGAAATTGAGTTTTATTATTTAGGTTAATATAAAATTATGTATAATTATCATTTTTTATAATTAGATTGAGCAACAAAAGTGAGAGTACAAAGCACATTATTTTACCACTTATGAGTTGGAATGTGTTATTTATTTCTTGCAAGTACTCAAAATTATTTGACGATAATTAAAGTATGTTCAACATTCACTACAAAAAAACGCTATTAGCGACCAAAAAAATCGGTCGCTAATGGCCAAAATTCGATCGTTATTCCGTTAGCAACCGAAATAGTTGGTCGCAAAAGGGCAAGTCGCTAATTTGTTAGCGACCGATTTACATTTCAGTCGCTAAATAGCGACCGATGAGGTGGTCGCTAAATAGTTTGGTCACTTATTCATTGAAGACCAAAATAGCGACCGAAATTAATATAATAAATCGGTCGCTAAATCGGTCGCTAAATCGGTCGTTAAATCGGTCGCTAAATCCGTGGTAAAGTTTTAAAAAATAGCAACTGATATATTCGGTCGCTAATATATTAATATAATTATTTAAATAAAAATTAAAATCGATCGCTAAATCGGTCGCTAAATTTGAATTGTATATTATAATAAATTTGTAGCGACCAAAAATTCGATCGCTAATCTAACCAAATCTGAAAATTTTCGTTTAAAATTTTGTATATCCAATTTGACAAAATTTGTACCTGCTTAATTCATCCAAACATAACACAAATGAAAACTTAAGAACTAAAGTCAAATTTTGTATATCCAATTTTACAAAATTTGTACCTGCTAATTCATCCAAACATAACACAAATGAAACTTGAGAACTTAACAACTAATCAAGATTCAAAGTCTTAATATGCTCGAACAGTTGGCGGTATCCAGATTCCAGTATCCTTACCATTCCTAACTTTGTTCATTGAGTTTTTTAAAATTCGAGAACCTTTCTTATCAAAAACATATCTTATGGCTTGCTCTTGTTCCACATCCCATATATACTCTTTCTGCATAAATAAAATACACAACAAACATTTAATTTATAAGAATGAAATGACATTGTTTAATGTAACTATAATTCAAATTACCTTGAACTCTCCAAACCATCTATCTCGAAGCTCAAGTGAAACCTTTCTCCAAGTGGGACTTGGTTCATCAAATTTTTGTTTGATGATTCTAGAGATTATAGCGAGGAGAACCATTTCGTTGGTATAAACCTGTGTTGAAACATATTGTGGGATTTATATTATTAAGAAATTTCATATTAAAGAATTATAATTAGCATAAGTGAAACTGCATTATTCACTTTATGTGATGCACTACTTATGTTTTTCTATTCTTGCAAATTAACTACAACAATCAGCATAAGTGAAACTGCATTATTCACTTTATGTGATGCACTACTTATGTTTTTCTATTCTTGCAAATTAACTACAATAATCAGCATAAGTGAAACTGCATTATTCACTTTATGTGATGCACTACTTATGTTTTTCTATTCTTGAAAATTAACTACAACAATCAGCATAAGTGAAACTGCATTATTCACTTCATGTGATGCAGTACTTGCGTTTTTCTAATACATTTTTTCCAAGGTATTTATCCACTACTTATGCAGTACGTATGATACGAGACCACCAAATAATTGTATAAGTAAACCCAATAATTATAAAATTTCTTTTCACTAAGATCCAACGAGATAATTAAAACAAATTACAAATGGTTAACCCGAGGGCGTACGGTCTCAACAAGTTCCCAAATTGGTCCGTCAAGCACCACCAAATCCGTAGTAAGAGGGATCGAAGAACCTATCTACTTCACAAATCCACCTACAACAAACGATAAAGAAATTCTGTCAAAATTATCTATCCTATATTATTCACAATGCAAGAGAATAACAAGTATATACATTCAAACAAGCCAAACCTTGGTTGAGGGTGTCGAAAGCTGCGGAGGAGGTTAAGAACGAGAGGTGTGGCGCGGTGGCTCACGGGGTGGCGTCCGGTTGACGAGGAGCTTTGGTGGAGGTTGGATTAGGGTGAGGGCTGACTTGGGGGAGCGAGTGAGGGGGCTAGGGCTCGTCGGGAGTGAGGAGGAGATGCGGCCAAGGTTAAGAGGAATGAGTGAGTGAGGCGCGAGAGTTAGGGTTATTTGGGGATAAGTGGCGTAAGATTCGAAAGTGAAAAATGTGGTAGTATATGATAGCGGTTAAATCTTAACCGTTATTATAATATTACTTCTAATAGCGGTTACATCTTAACCGCTATTATATAGCACTTCTAATAGCGGTTAAATATTAACCGCTATTATATATTTTCAAATATGATCGATCATTTAAAAATGTAATCGATCATAATCAAAAAATGTGGATGTCGCTCGAGCGAGATCAGTGTCGCTCAAGCGAAAAACAACCCGAGAATGCCAACTTTGTGCAGGTGGCGTCGCTCGAGCGAGAACATGTCGCTCAAGCGAAATACAACCCGAGAATGCCAATTTTGTGCAGGTGGCGTCGCTCGAGCGATGTTCTTTTCGCTTGAGCGAATGTTGACCTGCTAACCGTCGATCAAAGTTAGCCGGATAATGTAACATGGGTGACCTCATGTTTGAATCGGATGTCGCTCGAGCGAGTGTAGTGTCGCTCAAGCGAAATACAACCCGAGACTTCACAATC